GGAGCAAATTGATATAATTTAAATAGATAAACACAATTAAATTATCTAGATTTCCGATTCAATTTCAATTAACCTCAATTTAATACATGTTAAAGGTCATGGCAAGGTCATCACCTATATTCATTTTAAAACTCAATTAGGTAGTTAGAACAACAAAGTAGAACTTTAATTAAATCATGCTAATTTAAATCCCAAGGTTCTAAAACAACTTCTAATAGTTCCAAATTAATATATACTAGTAAACAAGTCATAGCCAATACAAATATCAAGTTAAAACCTTAATTAAGCTAATGGGACCACGAAATAGATTTTAATTAATTCTTTTAATTAAAATCTCTAGATTTTTCAAACTTAACCAAATGCTCTCAATTTAACATATCTTAGAGAACATGCCAAAGACTAATGTAATATCACATTTCAAGCTTATTTCATGCAAGTTACACTTATGTAAATTAAACTTTCACTAAAATTAAATATAAAATAAATGTTGCAATTCTCATGCAATTAATCCCAATTTAATACATGTAAACAACCACACCAAAGCTTAATTTTCTAGCATACCACAATTCAATTCCAAGTTGTATATCACCATGAGGATTAAATCTTAAACAAGGAAATTAATTAAATGAAAGGTTTCAAAACCTTACCGAATATTCTAAATCAAATATATGTGAAGTTATATGGCATGTAGATCAAGAATATCAAGTCGGAATTCGAATGGAGTGAATAGTGCACTCGGGACAAATTAATTAATAATTACTAATTTTCAAAACACCTCTAATTACTTTCAAATTCAACTATGTTGAAGAGCATGCTAAGGCCTAATATAATATGCTAACACATATTAATTTCAAACTAGTTAAGGCCATGTGAATTAATCTTTCACCTAAGATAAATATTAAATAAAATATTTAATACTTATTCAAATGTTCCAATTTTAATACACAACAATGAGCATATCAAGGAGCAATATAAAATCATGCTACATGTTTAAACCAAGTCACGAGCAACCGGAAAAATTAGATCCCGTACAAGAAAAATAAATAATAAAATATCTAGATGTTATATTTAATTATGCAAACAAATAGTATAAGCATCACAAGCATGCTATATAACAAGAATTTAAATCTAGAACATCTCCTACCTCAATTTGAGATGAAAATCTCAAAGGCCCACCAAAATAAAAATGTTCCGAATTCGACGATATCGAGAGGTTTTGTCGGGGATAACACCGTGAACAAGAATCCACAAGAAGCCCCATGAAAATCATAACTTGACCTCAAAACCAAACTCAAGAAATGGTCAAAACTAAATTCTAATAAGGGGGAAATGTAGAGCACGGCGAGGGGAACAACAAACGTTAAGGCCGAAGACTTTCCATCAAAGAAAAGTGAACCAAAAGAGGAGAGAGAAGATGGCAGCACCCCTTGGGCTGCCATGGGAGCTCCAGGTCATGCATGAAGAGGGGAGAAGATGAAAAATGAAATATCTCACCCCCCTTTTATAGAAATTTCAAAAAGTGTCCCGAACGGGCCCCGCCGGGTCCGAAAAAGTAAAATTTGAGTAAACGCACTCAAATGGCAAAACTTTGTGAACAAAAAAGATTCAAAATGATAAAATATGAACAGCGGAAGAAGCGGTGTCAAAAACTGAGTCCCGAGCAGAAAGTTATGCAGAAAACAAGTTTGACAAAAACTGGGGCTAGAAACCCTGAAACTGGAAAACATCGACCAGGAGGAAATTCCAAGAGTACACAACTCGATGAAATATGAAAATGAATCCCGTACGAAGATCCAGGCTCAAAACAAGACATTTTGCAATAACTTTCATTAATTACACAACGGCCCCTCCAAAAAAATGAAAACTGCACTTATGGCCCAGAATGAAAATATCTTCCAAAAATATTTTTCTTAAAAACCCCTGAAATAAAATATCTTCAAAATATATTTACGAAAAACACCCTAAGAAAAGAAAATAATTTCAAAGAACTTTGCATCCATACCCCTATGGACACCAGGAGCAACTAGAGTACTTTCTTGCAAAAGTAAAGATACATATTTCGTGGAAACCACTCAAGATGAAGGCACGTGAAGTCAAAAACCAACTCCGAGCATGGGAAGTGAGGTTGTGCCAAAAACTGACAAACGGAGATAAGACAGAATAGGGAAAATGACGAAATAACGCATAGTATCGAAAAACGAAAAATGTAAAAATGACTCAGTCCTTAAAGGAAGTTGTCAATCCACGGAAAAGAGTCTCAGGAACCAATTCCGAGTACTCGAGATGACACTAAGCGACACGAAATAGAGCTCAGAAAAGAAAATTAAACGAAAAAAATTCATTCGTAAAATTTCAGGAAAAAGGAAAGGAAGGCAAATGACCGGGTTGTTACACAAATATTGTTGAGATCAAGCCAAATATCGAGATCATTTTACTTTATATATATAATAAAACATATTATTTTTATTTTCGGACTTGAAGATCATAATTGAATCAATTTAAAATTGATTTTCCATATATATATATATGTTTTGGTACAAAACAATCATTTATTTGTATGTCCAATATGATCAAATTAAATTTCTAGACTCACATATTATTATGGAAATTCAGATTTTTAATAAAATAAATAGTTACACGAGCTTTATGTATTTAATAATTTATTTATTTATTTTAAATAATTAAAATAAAACATTTGAATTATTGGACAACAACTTGTAAAACAATAAGTTTTTAGAGAACAATAACAAACATAATTTTATTAAAACTTTCAATTTCATGTGTTATTCCAATTATTCACTTTCCATCAAAGTAGGGAATAAATAAAAAAACACTTTTTCTAATAATTAATTACCATAAAGGTAATTTATAAGTTGACAAAATTATATAATATTAATCTGATATCTATTTTATTTAACCACCAAATGATATAAGTACATCACGTGTCCAAATTATGTGGGCCACAAATATAAGAAAATATCTTACATCACGCGCGCGCGCGCACACACACACATATTCTCTAGACAAAAAAATATTTTCACACATCAACCCTAGGATGACCATGTTTTCACATTCTAAACAATAACCATGCATTTATTTAAAACAATGTGTATTAGAATGTTAGAATGTTTGTCTTCCTGACATTTGTCCACTTCCGAGTTCCGACTCTATCAAGAATTTCCATTTTAATCTGTCTAAAATAAATAATATAATTGGAGTATTAATAGGTTATTATATATTTTATATGCAAGATATACTTTAACATATTTATTTATCTTTCTTAAGTGTATTATACTTTTGAATTGTATTATATATATTTTTAAATATTATTTTATCTTTTTCACATGTTATATATGGTATGATTTTGTTTATTAAATGCTTTAGCATATAATTATTCATTAATTTAATAAAAATATTATTACTTTGCCTTTTAAATAAGAACAATGGCTTGAAATTTATAAACAAGTTACTCATCGTGTTAAATAGTAATTAAAATTTTAATTTTAATTTTTTTTTAAATTCACACTAAAAAAAAAAAAAATTCGAATTATGTTTTTTAACTTTCCTATAGGTGCATTTTAAGCTTAATGTGCAAGTTTGAAAAAAAATCACAATTTCACTACGCAACGCTTATTTTAAATTTGTTACCTCTTGTACTCTATAAATAAGTTAGCAGAGTATTTATTATTATTTTTTTTTATGAAGAAGTGGATTATGGTGAGGTCACTAGGAATCCTCGGCAACAAAAGAACCAATCACTTTGCATGCAATCATTTGAAAAGTGAGTTATGCTATCAAAGATAGTCTTTTCAAACGAAAAACACTTTGTGATTGGAGTCCAGCGTCCATTAACGCACGAAGTGGATTATTGTTTGATTGAATATTATTAATAATTTAAATAATATAATATTTTATTTTATTAAATAAGTTATTAAACGAATTACACTTGTAACTTGTTTAATAAACAAGTTGTGTTAGTGTTGAAAGTTCTTGATATAATTATTAAACGAGTCGTGTTTGGGTTGAGCAGTTTATTATAATGCCCTCAGGTCGACACAACACGATTACGATCTACGAACACGAATTGCCACTTCTAATTAAAGTCTTAACTTAATATTTGAACCATTTTTTTTTTTTTCCTTATTTCATGACTTGAAGTGGAATTAAAATATTTCAATTTAATTTAAACCAAATCTTTGACAAGTCTCAAATTTAATTTAAGCCAAACTTAGAATTTGAGACTTGTCAAAGAGTTTGATTCGAACACACGGTAGTATTTTTAATATTAAACAATATCATTAAATTACTTATAAGTCAAGCAAAAATTTTTAAAAACCAAATATAATAAAATAAAATTTAAACAAATTGAGTCCAACGGCTTAACCCAGCCAATCAAACTTGAGGTAAAAAACAGAAAAATAATTTTTTTTTTTCCTTGACAAATTAAGAGAAGGAGACTGGTACATGAACACATTAAATAGAGAGCTAAAAAAGAATACTACCGAATTAAAAGATATAAAAAAAATTGTTATATAATTCCGGAGCCATTAATCCATACCGATTATCCGAACTACTTAATAATTTATGGTGAGTCAGACTGAGGTTAATGTGGAAAGTATAGGCTTAAACTGAACACTTCACTTTAAACCTAACATTGCGTGTTCACTTTTTAGATGGTCAATCAAGTCAATGGGTCAATCAAGCCAGTCATCTTTAGAAAGTGAACAAGAGTCTCAAACTAATCCAACGGTCACCGTTCAGTTACGAATATATGAAAAAGTATATCAGATCATCACCGTTCATTTATGAGTAAACGAAAAGGCTTCAAACTAATCCAACGGTCACAGAAGCACAAGACAAACGTATACCATACGACCCAGTGTCTGTTTTCAATTTGGCAAATCAAAATATTGCCAAATTAGGCGCTCTTCTTATCTCATTAAAGTTGTAATAATTGTATTATCTCTCTCTAACACGGTATATATATAATAATATATATATATATATATGTATATGTATGTGCGTGTGACTCACAGCTTCTTTCTCATACAGTGCTAACCCTGTTCAAGTTCGATTTCTGATTCGGAGCTGTAACTTTGTTTTCCGCCAGTGAATCTGAGGTTGGTGGTTCTAAAGTTTTCGCCTTTTTTATGGGTTTTCACTGATCCAAGATTTTCAAGGCTGCTTCAACTGCGTTGTTCTGGTTTGGATTTCACGTGTTGTTTCTTCAATTGGGTAAATTTGCTGAACTTGAGCTTCTTTCATTTTCCTCATGTACGGAGAAAGTTTTTGGTTTTGATGGTTCTTGGAAGTGAAGAAAAAGTGATGCGAGTAGTGAACTAAAATCTAGGGTTTTGGTATTTGCTGTAGGAATTGGGTTCTCAAATATGTTTAACTTAATTGGTTGAAGTGAAAAGTTAGGATCTGAAGGTGCGAATTTGGGGAATTTGCATGAATTTTAGGGTTTGGCAGTTCTTGAGGAATTTGGTGAATTTGTATGAGTTTTAGGTTTACATTTCTTGAAAAAGCTGGGGTTTGGCATTTCTTGGGAAATTTGGTGTTTATGGTAAGCTTTAACTTTCAACATAAGTTTTGAGTGGAAGTGGGAAAGGGGTTACGTGGGAAAATCCAGATTTCTTGTATGACAGTCTTGGGTTACTGCGGTTGGAGGAGAGATGTTCTATTCACAGTTTATATTGGCGAAAAAGGGGCCGCTTGGGACTATATGGATTGCAGCACATTTGGAGCGGAAGCTGCGCAAGAATCAGGTTGCTGACACTGACATAGGCGTCTCTGTAGGTCAGTAGCTTTATCTTTTAAGTTATGCTCTTGAATTATTTAACATTCTTGGCAAAACTTATTGTTTTAATCACATAATTAAGCGTGAGGGTATGTTTGGGATCAACTTCTATAATGAATGACTTCCATTGGCTTAGAAATTAGTCTTGAGCATGTAATTTTTAAGTAATTCTCTTTTAAACTTCAAATCTGCACTTTATTTTACCTCTGTCCGAGTGTGGGCTGTTTGCATTTGCTTCTATGATGAATTGTCTCTTGAACTTGGGTCTCAATTAGGGTAGCTAGTTCCATGGTGTCATTGTAGTCAAGAGCTAAGCATTGAGATAGAAACACCAGTTAATGTATGGTCAAGCTTGGACAACTAGTTAGGAAACAAGCATATTGCTCAGAGAAACTTCAAGAATAGAATGTGGATAGGATGATCCCTAGTCCACGGAACAATCCTTTGATACATGTGACTCCTCACCTGATGTGGTAGACAAATGGAAGACAGATGGAAGATCATGGAATATGAACTGCCTCAGGCAACTCTGTGTGTTTTTGGGGAACATTGAAAGCACAGCTGAAAATTGTCTCAAAAGTATCACCGCGTAGTTTGGATAAATCAGGAAAGATTTGCCATTGAATGTTGACCTTCTAACTTGTTTTTGATCTGGTTTGTTTTTGTCAAACTAAGAGTAGGCATGAGATTTTTAACATGATATAAACGACTATGTTTTGAGTTTTACAGTTGGTAATTCTTAATAGAAAAACACTTGGAATGCAAGGATGAAACTGAGTTTAATGGTCGGATATTCTTACAAGTGTTGATCATGCAGCAAAGTGAACCAGAAACCTGTATTAAGTTTAGCAGCAAATCAGGATTTGATGTCCACAACAAGCAGTTGCATATATAAATTCCCTCTCTTAGCATTTGTTCTGTCACATTTCATGTATTATAAACGGTCAGAACACCGAATATTAATATGTCAGTCGTCCTAAAACTGTCCTGTAACTTGCAAGTATTACAAGGTTTACAGTTCATATTCTTTATATATATTATTCTAAAGTACTCTGAATTTTAGTGGTTTTTTTTTTTTTTTGGTGTGTGTGTGTGTGTGTGTGTGGGCGCGCGTGTGCAAAGGCTTTGTAAATAGAAAAGGTGTAGGTATCAAATTTAAGTGACTCGTCATATAAAGTAAATTTTACAGTTCTTTGTTTATACTGATTATGTGTTTTATGTGATTTTATTTTATATTATAAGAAGTGACTTAAGTTATTAAATTAGACAATAATCATTCAAATTTAGCTTTCATGGTAAATATGGTGCAATCATGGGTACTAATGAAAATATCAAAAGCTTTATTGGTGAAAGAAAGAGAGATGCAGCTATTATGCAAATATATATGGTTATCTCAGGGCCTTTGCTGGACAATGAAGGTTTTTTTATTGTGTCTCGGAGAAACACGAAAAGATTTGTAGGGCCATTATGTGAATAAGAAAATGTTGGGGGCCATTTTAGGATCTAGAAAATCTAATATTAATTTTTGTTTGACATTCTGCGTTGTTCAGGCTAATAACTTTAGCAAACCGCATCTTACCATGTCTCTTTTAGTTGTTTCAACCTTGTAATTTAACTTTTCAGTTCTCCAAACCCTACCCCTTATGTGGATAATGGCATTTTTCATTATTAGTTCAATAGTTATTCTCCATTGCACATGATGAAAGCAACTTAATTTTTGTCGTCTTCTCCATTTTGTCTCCAATCTGCTTTATTTATGCTGTTTTGCGGATATGTCCGTTTCAAAATGATTTCTCGTCTTATCACACATGTTTGATGGGTTGCTCTCATCTTCTTAACCATCCAATATTTCTGCAAAAAAAAAAGAACTATCTGGTATTCCAGATTGATTTTGTAATTTTTTTTTCTTTTGGCTTCATATGGATACGTCAAATGCCCAAAATGTGTAGCACTAACCTTCGTGATTTAATTATTAGCCAAGTTATCATTAATGCGGAACTTAAAAAAAGCTGGGCCAAGTTGGGATGAGTAGAACCTCTTATATTTTTGCCTTATTTAATTGGAGTTTGGTAGGGGAGGAACTACTTAGTTTTAAAGGCTTGATATTTGTGATAACAAGGGGCAAAATTGCTTCAGGTCTCCGCAATGTAGTTAGCTGTGCTATTGCTTTTGTAAATAAAATCTTGCTGTACTAGCATTCTCATGTTGAGTTACTTCTTTTTGTATGTTTTGGATATGATATTCATTTCAGAATTTTGAATAAAGCATTTTGACATGTTATATCAATTAAAAGCAAACTACAGTTTAGTCATTAACGATTTTTTTTGACTTATAATTCACTACCATGTAGTTTCGTTACAACTGATAATTCGGCTTCTTTGTTATCTCCATTTTTGACAACAAATGCTCAATTTACCTAGTCTAACTTCTGATGCTCTTCTTTGAACAGACTCAATTCTTTTTCCTGATGTACCGATTGCACTTCGCTTGTCTAGCCATCTTCTGCTTGGTGTGGTGAGGATATATTCTAGAAAGGTGAATTACCTTTTCGATGATTGCAGTGAGGCTTTGCTCAAGGTCAAGCAAGCTTTTCGCTCAACTGCAGTTGATTTACCACCTGAAGAATCTACTGCACCATATCACTCCATCACCTTGCCAGAGACTTTTGACCTTGATGATTTTGAGCTGCCAGATAATGACATATTTCAGGGGTTCGTGCTGGATAAGTAAATTTATGTTTTGAAGCAAAGTTAGAGTATTTTAAATATTATGTTTAGATCTAATATGCAACATGGTGATAGGTGGTGATATAAAATGCTTTAGTAGACTTACTAACATATATAGATAATCTCCTATTAAAAGGTTCAACCTTTAACTGTTGAATGTTTATCATTTGCTAGTCATTTTGATAATATAATCTCGAGATTTTTAGGTGTTTCCATTTGTTGTTTTTAATTATCTCTCTTCTGGGTATCTGGTACGTGGCTGGTGATTTATTTTTTTTTCTTTTTCCATTGGCGGTGTATTCATTTTAAATTGATATGAAAGAGAGTATGTTATTCTGTTCAGTAAGCATTGTCTGTTTTCTCCTATTTGGTTTAATGTCTACTTGCTAACTGCAAATTGCAGCAATTATGTTGATCATCATGTCAGTTCAAGGGAGCAGATTACACTCCAAGATACCATGGAGGGTGTGGTTTACTCCACATCCCAGTTCGGTTTGGATGGTTAGTATTGACTTCATGATATGGCATGATGGTATGCTTAGTAACCTATTTAATGGATAGGTATCTTTAAAACCTAAATTCTTTTTTTTGTTTTTCCTTTTTGTTTTATGGTCTGATTTCAGAGCGGTTTGGAGATGGTGACACTGCTGGTCTAGACCTTGATGAGGTAATATATTATTATAATCATCATCATCATTATAATTATCTTTTTCATCACCATCATCATTACTCATAAAAATAATAATAAAAAAAGATCGTCATAATTATCGTTATTATAATTTTATATTGAATAATACACTGTAAATTGAAATCTTGACAGCAATTTGATTATTTCGTCTAGATATTCACAGTTTGATCTGTTGTCGACAATGGAGATGTAGTGTTTCTTGTTAAAAAATGTGTTATTGTCATTATTGTTTTCTTTCATTCCCAAATACTGACAAAACACACTAGTTTGGTTTTCATTGTTAGAGTGAGGTTGGCAGAGGGAATGACTTGAGGAAGTATATGGTATACTTCCCTTGAATGTCAGATGTAATAGTGGGCTGGCCTTGTATGCTTAGAAGAACTCTTGTATTCATATTGGCCAACAAGTAAAAGATCTTTTAACAACTTTGCATTACTAAACAGTCTTATCAGTTGTTTTAAGAAATATATCCAGTAATCTTGGGTCCTTGTATTCTCAAAGAGCGGTTGGGAGTTGATAACTATGGAGGTGGAAACTTGTAATGCCTGAGGTTAATATGAAAAATATGTAACTTGACATATATGCATGGTTCAAGGTTGAGGTATTGGTCACTGACTCGGAGGGTGCTGACACAACCCTGTTGTTTTATTGGATTCGTTTTTGGCAATATGCAATGTAAGCTACAAATGAGGCTTCAAATAAAAAAATGTTAGAATTTATAATTACGAATGAGAAAAATATAACGGTTACATAAAATAGGCAAAAATTTTCTATTATTTCCACTCTTTTTTGTTGGGTTTCAGGGAGAGATTATAGATCTGTAGAGGAGATTGTTGTTTTTTCTGGCCTCTTTGAAGGCTTGAGGCGCGCTTTGGCCTTTTGTTTGTCTTTGGGTTTTGCTCCCCTTCTGAGTGCTTTCTTTATAAAATTTTACTTATCAAAAAAAAAAAAAAAAAAATATCTTGAAGGTTAATGTAGGTGCTAGTGCAATACTCTGTCTTAATATTGCATAACAGTTATATGATTTATATTTGATACAGTCTAAAAATCACACGCGCACGCACACTAAGGATATTTTATATCAAAACCTTAATGTACGTTAAGTTCCTTGATTATAGACATTATGTTACCATTCAGTTTTCGTACATCTGTTTTTGGTTAATGTGTCCCATGGTTTTTAAAATCCTGATCCAGATCCTACTATTGAATGATCTTACAGTCCAAAAGTTCTAAATCAATCCAGAATATTGAAACTCTCAAGAGGGAAGAGTCCTTATGGAATTGTTTAATGATAAGATCGCAGGAGTGTGGGATCTAGAGTCAATTTTCGATTCTATTAATCCTAATGTACAGACAATTTTGTTGAGTATTATAAAATTCATAATTTTTGAGTCTAAGATGGAAGCTTTTCTAACTTGTCATGTAAATCAAAGTTGAGGTTTTACGTATAAGTAAGCGACCTGGTATTGGTTTATTGGACTAGTATTGGGTAATCTTCAGCAATAAGCTACAAACGAGGCTAAAAAAAAGAAAGAAAAAATTATGAAAATTTCAGATATAATGAGGAAAGCATTTTGGATATGTAAAATAGATAAATTACATCATATGGAAAACAATAAAATTTCTATATGGTCAAGGTGCTATTGCCGTGATCAGGGGCAGACTGTAAGAGGGACCAAGGTGAGCCATGGCCCCACCAAATTTAAAAAAAAATCCCCCTAAGCGGCCCCTCTTTTAGTATTGTCTCACAAAAAATTGATGCCCCCCCCCCCCCCAACACACACACACACACACACACTTAGCCCTTTCAAACCTACCAGAAACTTGGCCCATCAAAATTCACATAACTTTTAGTCCATCCAAATACCCATTAATCTATATTAAACCGCCATCCAAATGTCCAAGTCATACTTGATTATTGTGTTTTTTTCTTGGCAAAATATAATTTATTGATCAAGAAGCAAATAAATTACGTCGTAGAGTGTGTCTACGCACCCTATGATCCAAGTTATTTGCTTTTTCTGTGAATCTAATGAAAATGGTCTTCAAATTGATTCAGCAATAATGTAATATCATTCAAGACCACTGAATTTAAAATTGGCCCGATCCATTTGTAAGAATCCATTTCAAAAAGAACATGCCTGAAACCTCCTTGTACAGAAATTGTTCTTGATTAGATATATGGGATATATGATAAGGGTTTTTTTTTGGGTCCATTTTGTACGTGTCTGTATAAAAATTGACTAGATTTATATTTCAATTCACTTAATGAATTGAAATATTTTTTATTTATTAAATTTTTTATCTTATATATACATATATATTTTACGTTAAAAATATCTATTAGAATTTCTGATGTGAAGAAAAATTATATGGAGTATTATAATTGTTAATATTTTATAACTTTATATTTGTACTACTAGTTTTGGCCCACCCAATCTGAACTTCCTGGGTCCGCTGCCCCTGGCCGTGATCTGTCTTAATATTGCATGGCGGTTTGATGTTAATGAGAAAAGCATATGGTTTGATGTTAAGAGGCAGACCAGAACTACCACGAAATGTACTAGTAAAAAGACCTTAAGAAATTAGATATGATGAGGGACATGGTTTGTTATAGAAAGAATGGAAAAGGAGAATTTATGTGCTCGACCTTATTCTAATGGGACCAAAGCAAGGATGATGGTTGGTGATGTGCAGTTGTTTTAAATCATTTTACTTTGTGTTTTATTTATTAAACCGATAACTCAGCACATCATAGAGCATAAGGTTTTTTGACCAAAACTCTCATTTCTATATATAATATTCTTTCACCGCCTAAGAAAACAGCACTACCCCTTTTTGATATCTAACATAACATATGGAGCTATGATTGCACTTTTTATGCTTGGATTTGCTTGGCCAGTCTTTTATTTTATTTGATTTATGTATAACCTTTATTAAAGTCTCTATGTCCTTGGGTTCATTGCAAACAGGAAATATTTATGGATAATGTTGCAGCTTCAGGGAATGCTGGAGTTATGTTGGGTTCAAAGTATGCTCTTTCTATCTACAGCATCACTATCTGATTATCTTGTGTCATTCCTTTTAAACTGCTTGGTCCTCTTTCTTTGGATCTTGTGGGAGTAATACTGAAAATTTTTGGAACTTTCTTCTGGGATTATTTAAATTGGTTTCTTGCTTGGGAAATTCAACTCAGGAGGTATGGGAGGGTGGACGCCTTTCCCTAACCTGATCACAGGAAATAAATATTTTCAGAAGGGCCTGACTTAAAAACATTGTTTGGTAGTATGCCTTTTTTAGTTTAAAGTTGGATCAATAAGAAGAAAATTTTAAATGGCATAGTTGCGTTATGCAACTTTTCCCTCCTAAAATTTACAAATGTTGACATTGTTGGGTAATACGGGTTGTTAATAGTTCATACTGTAATTTTATGTTGGGTAATACGGGTAGTTAATAATTATTAATCAATACTTTAATTTTTATTATACTTTGTTATTCACCTTGCAGTGATTGATTTTTCCCTGACATATATGTGCTGATATAGGTTGTTATTTTAAAGCCATCTGTGTCAGTTTTTTCTAAAATTGATCCATAGAATCATCCAAAACAGTACAGTAACATCATTCATCTTCTCTGATTCCAGTGCTGATCCTCTGGCGTCTGTTCAATCAATGACACCTATCATGCAAGATGAAAACCATGATGATCTTCTCATGCAAGATGAAAATCATGACGAGATGAATCAAAACTCAGATGGGATGCTAGCTACTGGTGGCAGCGTAAATCAGGTTAATTTTAAATTTTAAGATCCAGAGATAGCTGATGCTAAAGTTGCTTATTTGATTCAAGTGAGAAAGTGTAGTTCCCATTTGTGGTACTTGCAAATTACTACCTTGGTTTGGTGAATATGGTTTTACTTTGTGAACAGATTGAAGTTCCTACTCAAAATACCGATTTCATTGATTATGCTCAGGCTCCATGCACTCCTGGATTAGTGGAAGAGCCAAACTTATCCAATGTTCAAGAGGCTTCAGGATGTGATGATCATCTGGAATCAGAAGATCATAATTTAATAGAATTTTCCATAAAAGATAACTTGGAAAATGCTAACAGTGAATCAGGTATTCATTATGGGAATAAAAATGTGGTGAAGTGGTCTTTGCTTGATAATATGAGTCCTGAAAATGTTATTTGCACAGCTGCTGTTGAGAATGGGTGCCCTTTGGATGCCCAGGAGTTTAAGCAACTAAAGTCACAGGGAGAATTGCCAACTGCGGTCACCTTGGAGCACATATCATCAGAGAATCACCTTTTGGCATCTTTACCGTCATCTGTTTTACCTGATCCAGGTAAAGCTATTTTTCCGGTATCAGAATTTTCAGATAAGAACAATGGTGCAAACGGGTTGAAAGATTTACAGAATGCAGTTGTCAGCAACAATGAGCCTGGCGATCATTCTGTTGATGGGTCCCATGCAGACTGTGTAGAACCCCAAGGAGTTAGGTTGGATCAAACTGAAGCATCTCCTAGTGTCTCTCATGAAACCCCTGTTTTGGAGGACCCTTTTGGCAGGCCAAGTTCTGGTATTGAATATACTCCTGAGAAATCTAGTTTAACTAGCACTTACCAGTCATTATCAGAAGGTATTTTGGAGATTAATCAAGCATCCCTTGAGCCAGAAGTTTCAAATATTGTGGAAGAATCTGGCACCTTCAGCAATTTGGTGGCATCAAATGCTGAATTCCCTTGTAGACCTGACCTTGAGAACCCTGAAACTCAGGCTTGTCAGGAGCCAAAAGATTACAATAATTTGAGTCCTACTGCTCATGTAGAAATAGTGTCTACAAACTTGCATGTTCTTCAGCCATGCAATTTGCATCTCAACCACTCCAATGCATTAGATCCCGGGGGCGACAATTCAGTTATTCCTGACTTACTATCCAAAGTTGGGCCATGCTCGTTAGAGACATCAGGAAGGGAGGAGGCACCCCACACTTCTGAAGTTTCCATTGATATGCAAGGTTTGTTTGACAAGCTTATGTAAATATTGGACATGAAATTGTTGGTATATACTATACTTCAGCTTATGAATTAGACTTGTCTTTAATTTTCAGGTGAAGGGTGTCATGCAACTGATGTTACAAAGCTTGTATTGGAGGAAAATCACACAATAGGACCTGCTTTTTTTGAAGATCAAGTAGGCAATGTGATTTCAGGAGATACTCAATTAGAAAAATTAGATGGTTTCGACGGTTCTGAACTGCCTGCCCCTGAAAAGTTTCTTTCTGTACCGGAAAGTCTTGCTGAACAACCAAATATTTTGTTAGTGGAGTCTACGCCAGACAATTCTGCCTTAGCAGGGGGTGATGGTATGGAAATCATTTCAGGGAAAAAGCGCAGTTTCACAGAAAGTACACTGACTATGCAGAGTCTAAATTCAGTCGAATCTTTGGGAGTGGCTCACTCGAAAAGAACCGAGGAATATATTCCTGATGACAATGATTTGTTGTCTTCCATTTTAGGTATCAAACTGTTAATTTCTCTATGCCATATGAATTAGTGCTTACCATTTTTTTTGAAAAGATCAACCAGAGCATTTAATGTTTCATCTTTATAATTCCAATAAAAGTTATAGTTTCTAGAGTCTATTTGTTTGTAAGGGTAAGCTTATAATATTGTGTTCTTGACTGGACTGTGATTTATTATTTGTTTCAGTTGGGAGAAGATCTTCAGTTTTAAAAATGAAGCCCACTCCCCTTCAGCCACCTGAGATAACAACTACAAAACGTCCTCGGACTGCAAATCGTGCTAGTGCCTCTAAAAGGAAGGTTCTCATGGATGACAATATGGTTCTGCATGGCGAGTATGTCCTATTCTCAATGTTTATTACTTAGTCTATGACTCTATGTTCCCTTATATACCAGTGGTACCAATCAGTTATTGGATGTATGTTGCTAATAGTGTTAATAGTTTTTTCCTTTCTTTTCCTTTTTGTTAAAAAAAAAAAAAAAAAAAAAAAAAAAAAAAGAAAAGAAAAGAAAAAATGAAAAAGAAAAAGAAAAAGAAAAAGAAAAAAAAGAGTGAAACAAAAATCGTGTCTATCCTACGACCTGTGCAACATTCCCTGAAGATTACTTGCCCTATAAAGTTATAAACGTTAAGCAGTACTGAGTAGAAAAATTCATACATGTGGCAAATCTTTGCAGTCCTCACTGTCCATTTCATTCCTATCTGATTTTAGGATCTTTTGACGACATTGATTTGGTTCTCCTCGTGTACATGTCTTGGATGGACTTTTTGCACTAATGTGTGTGCTCTTTGAGCCTTGTACCAACAGGCCTGTGGCCTAGCGGTACAAGGCTCCTACTTCCCAAAGGGAGGTCAGGAGTTCGAACCTCAGTGGAGGCAGTGTGTGTGTGTCCCAACTAGGAAAAGAAATATATTATCAAAATTATAAATGGGGTGGCCAAGTAGCATCTGGCTGAATAGTTTTTTTTCCTCTTCAGTTACCTTGTTCTGTTTATTATTTATCTATTTGTGAATTTTTTTCTTTAAATTATTTTATGTTGTCTTGTGATATTCTAACAAAAGTTGCTTCCTTTACTCCCAAGTACAATACGACAACAGTTGACAAGTACTGAAGACATACGTCGTGTACGGAAGAAAGCTCCTTGTACCCGTCCTGAAATTTGGGCAATTCAGAAACAGTTCCTGGAAGATGAAATATTCAGTGAATACTTATTTACAGGTGAATAGTGGTGCTGAAGAATCTGTTTTGTGGGTTTTATTTGTTTATTTATAACTTTTTCCCCTCCTAAGTGAAGTATTTTGGTCTTTTTATTAATAATTTTGGATCTTGATCTTGTGAATGTATGGTTTCAGATATTGGATGCCCAGTATCTTTTCAATCTGGCCATACAACTTTCTAATATGTCCCACCTGAATTTTTCCTGAACCGGAGTTGATTTTATATTTTTAATGATCATGACATCTTTTCTATTTATATTGTATATATCATCCTGTCAGACCATGGTTATAGCTCCATTTGACTGTAAGTCTTAGTTATGACAACCCATGAAACCTTTCTGCGTTTGTGCCACGTGTTAGCTTGTGCATAGATACTGTAGCTTCTCTCAACCTGTTATGTATCAGAGATCTCTCTTCAATTTGTGGGGTTCAGCTTTCTGGAGGTTGTGAATGAATGCAACATGGTCCTTGAAATGTCAATTCAGTTATTGGGATTTTATTGTTGCATCTCTGACTTGTTTATCATTGGCTTGATATTTTTTGGTTTTTCTGTTCAACACGTGCATTACTTCTGGAAATTTAAAATGTGTTCCTGGAAGTAATCTGGGTTAATTTACTATTCTATCTCAGGTTTGTCGATGGAACTGGTTTCTTTGCACAACCACAAATATGATCTGAGTGAAATCAGGGTGTCACATGATGAAGAAAATAGTAGTTCTCCGGCAGCAGCAAATAATACGGTGCTCTCCGTGGGGCCAAATGTCACCAATGAAAATGGAAATGGAGGCAGCACTGAACCTGTGGTATTCAGAAATGATGTGGAAGCCGAACCTTCTGAGACTCCTGTACAGACTGATAACCAGCAGGGTGAAGAGCATGCCTTAAGTTCCCTGGATTATGATGCACAAATGCAGGTGAAGACGATTGGTGACTTAAGCGAACTTAGGAGTTCACAGCACGAGCTTTTGGAGGAGATAGTTGAAATGGAAATTGATGGAGAGAGGATTTCAGTTGCTGATGCAGTAAATCCTGCTACCTCAATTGACCCCGTTTCAGATGATATGACAGCTGGTTCTGAGGTTCAGTCATGTTCATTGGCCAAAATAAGTGCTGATGCTTCTCTGCAAATGGAAATAGCAGGCATGTCTGCTGATCAAAAGTTGGATATTCAGTGTGTCAAAATGGATGCTTCGGTAGCAGATATAAACAGTGGGAAAGGTGGTGATGCTAATAAAGTTGCCGAAGAAAATGATGATAATGCTGCTGTAGTTGGAAGTGAATCTACAGTAAGGGATGAGGTTTTGTTGGAAGATACTGAAGGTGGTGTTTCAGTTGAAATTGGAGCAGGCATTCAGACAAATTGTTCACCCGGGAGTTCAAACCCTTGTATTGCATTTTCTCCAGATACTTGCGGAAACCAGGTTGTTGTAAATGTTGACTCCGCCTTGGAGGAAATCTGGAAAGACGAGCATGGGGTTGTAAATGAAGATGAAGTTCTGGCTGCAGAATTTGACCATGATGACAAGAACCTGACTTTTAATGGCATCTGTAATGAAGAACGTAAAATGGATTCATCATCTCCAGCAGAATTCAACGCAGATGTGAAAGATGCTTCCTTAAATGATGGCGAATATCCAGGCTGTCAGGAAGGTGATCCAAATGTAGAGATTGCTGCCATTGACCACACTGCCATTGGAGATCGCAGTGTAAGTTGTTAACTCAATCCTCTCAGTATTCTGACTTTTTGGTGAATTATCTGCTCTGGGCTTGTGGATCTGTTCTTATTATTCTTTTTACTGTGGTCTATGAACCTTTGTTCTCTGGAGTTGTGTACTAAGACCTTCAAGTATTAGAACACTGTTGAAACATGAAAGAAACTAGGTCCTAGTTGTCGCCAAATGAACCTAGTAGAGAAAGAGAAAAGGAGAAGAGTGCTTTAGATGTTACACAGTTCCTTAGTATTGGATTTTACAACAAGCCCATCCTACATTTGATCAAAATTATAATTAAGAGGTATCTATTGTTTAAAATAAAGTTTCATAGGCATTTTTATTTTTATTTTATCAAAAAAAAAAAAATTTCGTAGGCATTTTTATTTTTATTTTTAGCCGGAGTATATTTTATTTCCTTTTTCCGTATATTTTGTAATGAAATATGTAGGGGAAATTCTGTGAGAGCTATTCTTTTGTTTCTGAATTTATTTTAGGTATTTTATACCAATATTGGTTTTTATCATATATGAGTACCAGGTGAGGTGTCTTCTGATACGTTAGGGTATGAAGGTAAGTCTATAATCCTATATCGAAGCTCAAACTAGAATTTTATGGGTCGATAAATACTGATGATCTTATGAAATTGGAAATATTAGATATCTCTTGATAAAAGCAAGATCTTAAAATTATTCTTTTGGTTCTTAAAATTTGACATTTCCACAAAATATGGTATTACTAGATGTCGTGGAATCAAACTTGGTTCTGGTTAGTATTCTGTTGATGGAACGACTTATTTGACGGTTGATTGAGCACAATTTCAATAGTCGATAATGAAAGAATTGTAAGAGGATGTTGAAGGCTTCTAAGTTCTATAATTATTTTATTGGATGAAACCAGATATTGCAGTACTAGCATGAAAGCTAAGGTGGAGATTTCTTTCCACATGATGAGAATGATGTGATAATCGTTTGTTTGGTGGGTCCATGGTACATGCAATCAAAATTGTAATTCAGAAAATTGAAAGGTTTAGAATCAAGGCTTTTCAGCTAATGTTTTATTTAGACATAATTCTTATTTCTTTTCAAAATTTATGGTAACGAAAGTTCGTAAGCAGATTTTCATCGAAGCTTGAACATTGTTTTGGAATTGTTTTTTGGTTAAAAAGGGTGACAAATTTTAACTTATAAAAAGTTATTGAAGACCTCTCTCTTATTTCCCCCCCTTTTGTTCACCTGTTCTCTTTTAATCAAGGGCTTGGAAGTTGCTTTTGTGCCCTCCCTCATGGAATTCTTCTTGGACCTTCTGCTTCTCTTTCTCTTTCTCTTGTTCTTCTTATTCTACTTTTTATTTTGAAGGACCTGATATGGGTTAAATCAATTGGATCTTTAAAGCTTTATCCCTAATTTTAGTGTTGCACGGTGCTTTAGGAGCTCCAATAGTTGATTAAAACTTCTTTGAGTCAATCTACTTTGAATTGAAGGTTTGTGTATACATGTATATGTATAAATGTGTGTAAATGTATAGGCTGCTATTTGTCATAATTTTGCCTCAATCAACTTACTAAACAAAGCCTCAAGTATATGGGGTTGCTACATGAATGCTATTTCACACTGTGCTTATCTATGGACGCAACTTAAACTACACTTTATCATATATATCTCTACTATTTATTGCAAACAAAATTAGTTTTGGTCTTCCTCTTTCTCTTTCCATTACCTTATCCGTGTTGACTATGTTATTCACCCTCACTGGTTCAGTTTTTGGTCTTTGTTTTACCTAACTAACCATTGAAACCAGTTTTTTTTTTTCATTTTATCTCTTTAGTTGCCACTTATATTGTCTTAGAAATGTATTATTTTTTAATATATCATTTCTTGTCACACTGTTTGTTCATTTCAACATCTGCTTTTTCAACAACATGTTTTATGAATGTTTTGTTTTTTTAACCTTCTATTACTTTGTCTACTAAGCATGGCTGGTTTAATAAATTTTTAGAATTCTTATTTTAGTTTTTTAGGTACTAATATATTACAAAATATGGAAGAAGTACTCATTCACTTAACCGCACTGCTCTACTTTTACGAGCAGCACCACTCCAATCTATTCCTTGTCCATTTAATCCCATAGTAATTTGGCAGAGCATCAAACATTTTCTAACCAATATGTTCTTGTTCATTTTTATTTTAAAGAAGGCCTTGCATGCTAAGAGATAATGACATATATAGCCACCATATAAATACAATAGCTTGTTTGTAGGGCCAATTATCAGGCCAGGATTTTCCTTGTGATCTTGGAAGGAGTACTCTAGGATTTGCCATGTGATCTAGAGATCTAGTTGACGCTTGAAAGGAGTACACTGCTATAGAGAAAGAGCCATTCCAATCTATGGCAGGGAACACACTTGTATACTGTTTAGGATTTTTTAATTGTCTTTGCTTTGTCTTGTTCTGAGCTTGTGATCTCCCAATGTGCGTCATATATGTTGCGTGGCTTTTTTATTTTTTATTTTATTTTGGGGAGGGGATTTTAGAGACCATAAGTTGTTGAAGGAATCTCTGATGAGGTTTTAAATTGCAAATTATATTAAGAAGTGTTGTCTTACAAATTCATACATTTTTTCAACAATTTTACGACTTATTTTAGGAGTATATGTTTTAAGATGAAATGGTTCTAGGGTACAAGATGAGGTATCCTGATTTATGATAATATCTTGCTTGCCTAATTAAATAGTAATTTTGCCGAAGGCTGTTCTTCCCAGGGATGATGCATATGATATCATTTATGCCTTTCATGGTTTTAAGATTGCTTTTTCAATATTGCTTTACTTTTTTTCTAAATTGAAACAGAAAGTTCCCTTTTTTCTCGTTGTGAGGCATGTCTCACACACCCTTGGCCTTATTGTGCAGGATTTCGATTATTCAAGTTATGGACATGATACAGGTATGATTCTATTTCTTTTTGTTCCATTGTTGATTCCTCAATTGTAACTCCATTATTGATATTGGTTGATATTTTTGTAGTTACTTGTTTTTTCCTGAAACCTTGGAACAATTTACTCAGCAGTGTCTGTTTGTTGTATGAATTAGTATCAGTCAAATTCTTAATATTTAGAGACTGATACAGGCATAGGAAATCTTCCTGGCGGCTTCAAAATGTTTCAGGTTTAGAAATTTTATCGTTCTTCGAACTCATTTCATTTTTTTTTTTTTTTTTGGGGGGGGGGGGGGGGGGGGGGGGGGTTGTTGTTCTTGTAGAAGTACTCGAATTGAATCAGATTTCTCTCTCTCTCTCTCTCTCTCTCTCGTGGGGGTGGAATTCCAATGTTATGGAAATTAAAAAATAATGAGATTCAAAAGTAGTTTTTAAATTGGTTGATTTGTATATTTGCTGTCCTTGTGTTATATAAATACTCTCATTGCCTGGTGAAGAAAAGAATGCTTTCAAAACTCTAAGATGCACATTACAAGCCTAAGTCCCTTGTCAGTTGAAAATATTTTCTTCTGGAAATACATAGGTTTTGGTCTGCAAATCCTGTTTTCTCTTCCTTTTTCTAAAAAATCTTTTCAGTTACACATGAGATGATCAGATGACACTTTTGAGGCACTGTCACTTGTAGAGATATGTGATTCATTAGATCTTGAGCTCTTATATGGTTTTTTAAAACACCACTGAAGGCATGATTTTGGGGGCCTATGGGAAACTCAAATCCCACGACATGAACTAAAAACACTGTGAAATTTTAATCTCCAAATCCTGTTATTCATAAATTCTTGTCTTTGAAATCCCACCCAACAAACAAAGCTTTAGTGATTGATTTCTTGGTTTTGTTGTAAACCATTAAGATGTTGCTGGAAAATTTATTGACTGTGGGTTCTAGGAATGCCTACAAATCTTTTGGTGAGTTGCACCCTTGTGCATATATTTATTTTTTGTTATTAGTAAGACTCGCACTTTCAGTTCTGAAAGTTCGTAGGACTGGAACCAGAGACACTGATTGCGCAAGGTCTGTGATGTAAGTCCCAGATGGGGGATGAATAGGTCTTACGGATTTGATTCCCGAATTTTAATTGCTTTTTAAATTTTAACTAATTTAATAGAAATTCAAATTCTGACAGAAATATAAAAATCACTCAATCCATCATCCAAGCATGTACAAGCAGTAAAAAGATGGACTCAAATGTTTTTACGTGGATGAGCTTGTAGAGTTTTTGGATTTGCTGAGGGTTTAGAGGCCCTATTTGGCCTGCTGTTGTTTTTGAGGGATGCGTTCCCCTTTTGAGCACTTTTAATTATTTCTTACTTACAAAAAAAAAAAAAAAAAATACTTTAGTTACCTTCTCGACTCAAATCGATTCATCAAACTCTCCTTGAGTCTCTAGGCACAATATCCACTCATCAACAGACTTCGCTCCACACGGATCTTCTTCTCCACCACGCCACTAGTTGTATGATTTCAATCTCTGAGGGACGGATTGAAGTTGGTGTTTAAATTTCCAGTAGCCACTAGTCATACAATTCAATCTATAAGAGAAATGGAAACCAATAGGCACAATAGAAGTATAGAGATAATATGGTTGTCAGTTAAACCAGAATGGAAACTGCTTTTCCGCATGGTTAGATCGGTCGAAAAGACTTGGATCGATCCACGTGATTTCAATGATCCTCAATCAAAACCTCGATTGATCGAAATCTTTTGTAGTCTCTTATTTGGGAATTTTAGTAAACCTAGAAACCCTAATGCATGTATGCATGAACCCAATTTGGTGAGTGCATCAATGTGTTAAATTACCTTTTTACCCTTGTAGAAGAAGATTACTCAGATATTCTTGAATGTGTCTCTAAATTCCTTTTTCAACCAAGTGTAGGAGGTATCAACTAACACTAACTAACTTTTGAAATTTCTAATCTAGACTAGAAATTAAAACAAAAGTTGCAGATTTCAGTTTTTTTCTACGAAATTTGCTAGCCTAAGCCCTATTGGCAGGGTTACTCTGATTAAGAGTACCCTCTCTAGCCTTCCCACTTATATTATCTCTCTCTTTCAGATTCCATCTTCAGTTGCGGAGAGGATTGAGAGGTTGCAGCGTAATTTTCTGTGGGGGGGCAGAGGTGAAGAGTTTAAGTTCCATTTGGTGAGATGGGATCAGGTATGCAGGCCTATTCGGAATGGTGGGCTGGGTCTTCGTAGATTGGTGCCCTTTAATAAGGCCCTTCTTGGAAAATGGTTGTGGAGGTTTGGTGTGGAGAGACATTGGCTTTGGAGGAGGGTTGTGGCTTGTCGTTTTGGAGAGATGAGAGGAGGGTGGAGCTCTTTGGAAGTTAGAAATCCTCGGGGGGTGGGAGTTTGGAAATTTATTTGGAAGGGTTGGGATGATTTTTCCAAGCACATTCGGTTTCGTCTTAGAGATGGGAGGAGGATTTGTTTTTGGGAGGATGTGTGGTGTGGTGATGCTCCTCTTGCTCTTGCCTTTCCTCAGCTTTACAGGATTGCTTCGGATAGGCAGGCCTTGGTGGTTAACTGTTATCATCTTGATAATAGGAGACTGGTTTGGGATGTTCGGTTCAGGCGTGCCTTTCAGGATTGGGAGATTGATGAGGCAATTCGTCTCTTAGAGTTGTTATATCGCCAGAGGATTGTGGTGGAGGATTCGGATTGTTGGTATTGGGTCGCAAACTCCAAGGGGCGTTTTGAGGTGAGGTCTTTCTTCAAGTGCCTCTCTTTTGATCCTGGAGTTCGTTTTCCTTGGAAGTCTGTTTGGCGTTCTAAGGCTCCTCTCAAAGTGGCTTTCTTTGTGTGGACTTCGGTTCTGGGTAGGATCTTAACCTAGGATAATTTGAGAAGGAGAAGCCAGGTGGTGGTCAATCGTTGTTATATGTGTCTTCGTGATGAGGAATCTGTGGATCACCTTCTTATTCATTGCTCTTTGGCTAGAGAGTGTTGGGATTTGATGCTTGGCTTATTTGGGTTTTATTGGGTTATGCCAGGATCTACTAGAGAGTTGATTGAGATGTGGAGAGGTTGCCATGTGGGAGCTCTCAGTCAGGATGCGTGGAGAGCTACGCCGCTTTGTGTGTGGTGGTGTATTTGGCTAGAAACGAATAGGAGATACTTTGAAGGAAAGGCGATGTCGATTTCGGTGCTTAAATTCTCGATTATTTCAACTCTTTTTTGTTGGGTTTCAGGGAGAGATCATAGATCGTTGGGGGAAATTGTTGATTTTTTGGCCTCTATGAAGGCTTGAGTCCTTTGTGCTCTTTTGTATTTCCTTGGGTTTCGCTCCCCTCTTGAGCATCTTTTAATAATATTCTTTTATTTATCAAAAAAAAAAAAAAAAAAATTTCATTTAGGACTTAAAACCTGCACATGTGGGAGCTTGATGGTGAGTGATTGTTTGACATGGTATTAGAGTTTTGGTCTCAGGAGGGCTTGGGTTCAAGTGTCTCCTCTCTCATTCTATACATACGGTTGCACATTATTCTGGTTTTCTGCCTTTCAATCTCTCCATGTGCCTGAGCACATGTGAGGGAGGATAGGGTGTGAGAACTTGATGTACATCTCACTTTCTAAGCCCTTGAGGAAGGGTTGGGAACTTGATATATATTGTTCATTTTTAACGGCTCAAGCTTTGATCTTGCTATATACCAAAGCTAATGGGTACTGATATGAGTTGTCCCTTTTGTGTGCAAAAAGTTGTAAGTATACTATGTTGGCACAGTTTTATGCAGCTTTTATCTTAAAGAACATTTCTCTTTCTTGTATATTTGTTTACAGTTCCTGTGTTTGATGTGGCAAATTTTCATGGGTTTCAGGATTTCTAAATGTGGATGATGATGAGGTTAATGAAGAAGAAGATGATTTTATTCCTAGTGCCGAAGAAACCCACTTTATTGAAAATAGTGGGTGGTCTTCCCGTACCAGGTGTGCATTTTTCATGTGGCTCTTTTTTTCAAAAGGTGCTGCATTCATGTTTCCTTGAGTACAAGTCACCAAAGAAGTCAAAAGACACTGAGAGAGAGACCAAATGGATAAGTGAACATTTATTTTTTCATTCATTTATCCGTTTGGTTGCTCTCTCTGTGTCTCTCCCCCTCTATCTCTCCCTCTCTCTTTATCTGTCTGTTTGTCTACTGATCTGCATAGCTCAGTTGGTTTATTGTATACTTTTGTCAAGTTTTTATTTGTCTATTTTACTATATGGTCTCTGCTTTTAGCATAGTTTTAGTGCGGATCTATTTGAGAATTTGTAAAATAGACCCAGGATAAGTTTTAATCAAGACCAGCATTGGTGGATTCACATTCATTGTCTCTCATATCAATATTTCCAGATTAAGCATTTTCAATAATTTATCAAGTTCTTCTTGGATGTTGACATGATTTGTCATGAAGTGTTTTGTGGATGGGATGAATAGGATCATACAGTCACTACACATCTTATGCTTCATTTTGAGGAAGAGGAAAGGGGGTGGGGTGGGCCGGGGGGGGGGGGGGGGTGGGAGGTGGAAGTCTCCAGACATGGTGGGCATAGTGCTACGTTTTAGGTACATGTGTATCACAACAATAGAGTGGCGGAAGGTTTCTTCCTTTTTTTCCATCCAGTAACTCCTATTTCGAACAGTCGGAGTGTTGTGAACATTTTTTATTTTTTAAGATGACTTGTCTAATCTATTAAGTATTATAAACTGCTCTTTCTTGTACCAGTTTCTGATTCTCTTTTTCTTGTAGAGCTGTCGCCAAGTACCTCCAAACCTTGTTTGACAAGGAAGCAGAACATAGGATGAAGGCACTTCCCATGGACACCCTGTTAGCTGGTAAAACTCGTAAGGAGGCATCAAGGATGTTTTTTGAAGCATTGGTATGTTTATTTTATTTTTATATTTTTTTATTGAAACAAATTGGGAAGTGATAGTTTCATTTTGTCTCTTTGTGCATCAACATGATATGCTCTGGTACTCCAATGTTGTGCTTAAAATTCTTTGGCTTCTGGACGCATATTCTTTTTGTTCCTCAGTTTTCTTATGTCTTTCTTTTTGTGGATTTAGCGGTTGCAAGCTTTAATTTATAGTTGCCAGGTGTCTCCTAGAAACCTGATTCGTCTGCTTTTGTTTTCCCTGGTTTGGAAAGTTAATTTCTAACCAGGTTAGGTTTGAGGTTGGCCATAATGTCTCCAGTATGTGGTTCCCGATTAGTTTGTGTCATATATTTTAACTTTTTTTTCTTTCGAGTCTATGTCTAGTGTATACTTAATATGCCCATGTCCTTAAATCAGATGCACCTTACTTTGATCAAGCTCATACCTTGCATTGCACCTTACGCATAAGCTCCAGCAGACCTTAGCACCTTTAAAGCACATGGAAATTAAGTTACTATGATTGCAAAGAAATAGCCCATGGTCTCCAGCATAAAAGTTATTTCTTATTAATTTTGGAAAAAAATATGCATATATAATATATATATACATATAAATGCATTGGTGACACCAAATTAAATCCCATACAAGATAGTAATCTATAGATCACTTGAGTATTTGCAACACACTAGATTAAAGATCAACTCCACTCGACAAGATCATGAAGAATAACGAGGATTAAATATATAATGTAACTCCCTTTCTTTCATGAAGTAGTTAATTTTAAAAATCCAAAATCAACCAATAACGAGTGAAAAGGTGTTGGACCTTCGGTCCTATTTAAAGTACATACCTAGTGTCCGCCCCTCCTTGGGCTCCTTTCGAGCTATTACAGTTGGGGACCAAGATTCTGTCATCAGATGAGATGGTGTAAATTAATGTTACATTGATTCTTCAAAAATGTATGAAGTATACATGACACCCATACATTAGTAGGAGTAATATGTGTTCTAAACATTTGATAAGCATATCTAAAAATTAAATTTTATTATATAATTTAATATAATTCATTCTTTTATATTCCTTTTACATTTTTGCTTCAAAACTAGTGAACCACGAGATTGTTGTAACCCGGAAAATCTTGGAACAAGTTAGTAACCAACGGTTCAAACAAATCTTGCAAATTAGTTCAGTTTTGGGCTTTCTAGAAATTGGAAGTGGCCTTGCATTGTACTCAACTTGTGATTGCAAAGTTGCGTGGTTCACAGTTTTAGCTGTTTTACTGCCTGATTTGGTTCAGGTCTGGAAGAATTGGTAATAAAACCTGTAGTGGAAGAGTGTCAACCTGTGTGATTTATAAGCATGGTATTGTGTATCTGTTATAAAGGAGGATTAGAGGTTCAAGACTACCCCCATGAGAAATGAGGAAAGCAAGATTAAACGAGGACCTTGTGTCAACTATTACTAATTCTTGAAAGTTAAAAAATAAATAAAAAAAATCATTTGAACTTGTTGATGAGATTGCTTCTATTCAATATTCCATTGATATCATTATAAAAGTAAACAATCTGTGAAACTGCTGAGAATATTTTGATCATGTTAAATCTGTTTTCTAGTTACCTTTTCACCGAGAATAAGTCGTGGGATTATTGATTCCAATTATATTCCTTATTTTGAGTGACATGAATATCCTGATTTTTTTGGGGGGTCATTTCTGCTTAACCTACTCTCTGGTGATCAACTATAACTTATGTGGCGTATTGTCTTTTTATTTATTCTAGTTCAATATACTTTACCTATTTGGTTTCTGTCGTTTTCATTTTGAGAACAATCCAACCAGTTTTACCTTGCTCCCCACCCCAAAACTAAATAAATAAATTGAAAAATAAAATCATTGGTCTGTTAATTTTTTCACTTTGCAGGTTCTCAAAACGAAAGATTATATCCATGTAGAACAGGAGAATCCATTTGACAACATTGTTATAAAGCCTCACGGAAAGCTCATCAAATCAGACTTCTGATCACGCGTAGGAAGGTATAATAATAGTTGCAAAGAACCACATGTACTTCTAGGTAGCAGAGACTCGTTCGGCTTGGGGATTATTTATCCTTTGATCCATTCTTTTGTAAGTTATGCTTTTTATAGTTCATGTAGTTGGTAGTGTTGATAGTTTAGCAGTGGCGCTATGTGGCCCGTGTACCGCTAATGATTGTTGAAGCAGTGCTGTAATATGGAATCATTTACATATGTGTATATATAATCTGTAAAATTAATTTGTTTCACCATCTGAACATGCTGTAGTTAGCCATCTCTGTTGTAATAATAATGTTAGGAGAAGGTGCACTGATAACAGGACATTTTTTTTTTTTTTTTAAGTTTTAAAATTTTTTTTTTTTTAATGGGATATGGGTTATTTATTTATTTAACAGTGCTAAGAAACTTGCTCAAGGTAATGGTTGTACCATTTGGTGTTTAGTGAAGTTGCTGATTTGAATGGATGGGTTAGATGTATTAAAACAAGACTAGTAAAAGACTTGGGTTGGATTTTTATTTTTATTATTATTATTTTTTTAATGAAGTAAAATATGATGAACTAAGATTATTTGGTCTATGGTTGGTTTTGAGGGCCAAGATGGCAGTGACATTCCTATTTGGTTGTTTTTTTCTTCCTTATTCCCAGGCAAGAATGTTAGGGTTAGTGGTTTTGTAATATATGAAAATATTATTTTCTCAATTTGAGAATTTATATTTAATTGGTGCATCAAGTGTCAATGATCTAGAATCATCTAATAATTTCTCAGTGGGTCGAGGCAGGGGGGGAGCTAGTATAGGCTGGGGTCACATGCCCCAACTATAATATATATATAGTATGGAGTAATTTTTTTGTATTTTTTACATATATATGTGAGAGAATCTATATAATGGCCCCTTAAAATTTTTATTTCCTAATATTATCTCTTGACCTTTTATTTCTTTTCTCTTCTACTCTTTAAATTTGTTTAATTTCCTTACAGAAAAAGTCAATTTTCTTTTTTAAATCAAATTCTATTTATTTATTTATTTATTTTTTTAAAAAAAATTCTATTTATTTTCCTTTCAAAGATCTCTCATTTTCTTTCTTTTTCCTTTAAAAGTTCTCCAATTTTATTTGCATATTATTTTATAATAATTTCTTTTCTTATTTGCCTCTTGATTTTAAGGATTTTGTAATGTTCATTGATTTTAAGGATTTTGCCTCTTGATTTTAAGGATTTCGTCCCCTTGAATTTATTTTCTGGCTGGTAGAGGGGAGGATCAAAATCCTCTCATGCTAAACCTGTTCCCTCTTGATGGTGATACATGTTAAGAAAATATTAAGATGCAAAGCAAATATTACAATATTTTTCTAACGTGCATCACTAATAATTTGAAAGTAACGAATTTTTTATTGTGCAGGAGGGTACGAGATAGGGCTCAAACACAGAATATTATTGATTGGTGTGAGTGAATGATTGCCAGAATATCGAAGTGGGAGTTACCATTTACTCTGATTTGGAATCTTCATGATTTTTTTACTCTCATCATAGATTTTGTTCTTATTGAAAGTTTGGTTGGGTTTTGTTCTCTTTGCATCATCCCCTGTAGTGTATTCAAATTTTTAATTATTTAATTGCTAAAAAATAATAAAAAACTAATAAAAATGAAAGCCATATCCGAGTGCACTTGTATTGTTTGACATCCCTATCACAATTCAGTCCGAAAGAGTTATTCCAATTCACTAAAAAAATTATTTTAACCTCTAGTTGATTTTGTATTCAGCTAAATTACAAAGGGCCTGTTTAGTTGTGTGTTTTGTTATAACCCAAAGTATTTTCGTTATATTATGTTTTGAATAGTAATTAAAATCATGTTTAGTAATATGTATTTGTTGCAAATTTTTTGAAATAAAAAACATAAAAACATGTTAGGTAAAAAAATATTGTAAGTTTTAAAAATGTAATGACTAATTTAAAAATGTCATTTTAGCGTTTTTTTAGTACACTTCATTGGTATAGTGATCGTAAACTATCCTGTGAAATTAGTGTGCCATAACATGCTTTATTTATTATTATAAGTTAATCTTAAAAAGTGAGTTTAGGTTGTAGAGATTTTTTTTTATAAAAAAAAATGTGTTTACGTGAAGCTAGAAATCATAACTTTTGGAATTGCGTTCGAGAAATAGTTAGGTAACTACTTTTTTTTGACAATATAATCCCTCACTTTTATTTATAAATACAATTTTATCTATTACTGATTTGCATCAATGTTATTGTTTACATTATATCTGATAAGCCACACAGACACTATAACATGCGTAGAGTGAAAATTTTAAACTATTTTTCGGTTGTTCCAGTTGTAACATATATTTAAATTAGTGTATGTTTAATATAGTAATTAATAATAAAAATGCTTTACACAACATTATTACCAAATAATTTATATATACTTTTAATATTATAAAAGGCATTACCAAACACATAACATGATTTTTATTGATAGCAAATTTATAACAGCCCCACTCTTAAATTAGATTAGCACCTTAATATTTGTTTGTTTGTAATATATATATTTTTATTTGCATTAAATATAATTACAAACAAGTTTATTTTCGTCTAAATGAAGTCTCAGGTGCTGAAACATGTCTAGAACAAAATAGCCAACCCAACCAGCTTCACCCGGCGCACACAGAAAGGCTTTCTCTAAAAGATGATTAAAAGAAGTGTTGTTGGTGCTTCCTCTCTCCACAAAGGTACCCGTATGTCTACAACTTCTCTTTTTAAGCATTGTTTAAATTTCTTCATTGATTATCCATTTGCCAGAGACAATTCAAGGGCTTCGTTCCATTCCCAAACTGGTAATGATCAAAAACCTAACTTTACCAAGTCTGTCAGAAATCAATTCTGTTTTGAGTTCACTAACCTTGACGATGCACTCTCACTGTTTGATCAAATGTCTCATATGCGACCTCTTCCTTCAATTGTGCATTTTACTAAATTGTTAGGGGCCATTGTGAGAATGAAACATTACACCACTGCAATTTCTTTGCTTAACCAAATGGAGTCCTCAGGAATAGCTGAACCAGACGCTTATACTCTGGCCATCTTGATGAATTGCTACTGCCATTTGAATCGGGTCGATTTGGGCTTCTCTGTTCTGGGGAGAACTTTGAAGCTTGGTTATGAAGTGGATTGCACAATGCTCAGCACTTTGATGAGGGGACTCTGCAGCGAGGATAAAATAGATCAGGCAGTAGATTTCGACCTGATAAAGTTACTTGCGGAACGATTATAAATGGGTTGTGCAAAACGGGGAACACCAGCGCAGCTATTGAATTGGTTAAGAAGATGGAAGAGAGAAATTGGGTAGCTGATGTTTTTCATTATAATATGATTATTGACGGTCTTTGCAAGGACAGATTGGTAGCTGAGGCTTTTGACTTCTTTTCAGAAATGATCCGTAAAGGCATTTCACCAACCGTTGTCACTTACAACTCCTTAATCCATGGCCTATGCAATTCAAACCAGTGGAAAGAGGCTACAAGATTGTTGAATGAAATGGTTAACCAAAAAATCAAACCAGATGCAAAAACGTTGAATATATTGGTGGATGCACTTTGTAAGGAAGGGAAGATTTCAGAAGCAGTAGAAATAGTTGAATTGATGATTCAAAGAGGTGTGGAGCCTAATACAGTCACTTGCAATGCACTGATGGACGGATATTGTTTGCAAAGCAAATTTGATGAGGCAAAGAAGATATTCGATTCCATGGTTGGTAGGGGTTGTGCCCCTGATGTTCAGAGCTATAACATCCTAATTAATGGATATTGTAAAAAGCAAAGAATGGATGACGCTCTTAGACTTTTTCACGAAATTTCTCAAATAGGATTGATTCCTGATACTGTTACTTACAACACTCTTATAGGTGGTTTCTGCCTTGTGGCAAAACTTTTAGTTGCGCAACAACTTCTGAATGAGATGCGAGCCCGTGGCCAACATCCTAATCTTGTGACCTACTCTCCTTTGTTAAATGGACTGTGTAAAAACCAATGTCTTGCTGAGGCAGTGGCCTTGTTTCGAGAGATGGAAGAAAGTGGATTGCATCCTAATATTGTGGTTTACAACATCCTCATTGATGGTATGTGCAAAGCTGGAAACATTAAAGTTGCAAGGGAACTCTTTTATAGTCTTTCTTCCAAAAGGTTGCGACCTAATGTTCGCACATATGCTATTATGATGAATGGACTCTGTAAGGAAGGGTTGTTAAGTGAAGCAAACATGTTGGTCAAGAAAATGGAAAAGAGTGGTTGTACACTAGATGGTTGCAATTACAATATAATTGTGCAGGGATTTCTTCGAAACAATGAGACGTTAAGGGCAATGCAACTTCTTCAAGAAATGCTTGAGAAAGGATTCTCTGCTGATGCATGTACTATGACCCTATTATTGAATTTATCAAATAATAGTGGATTGGATGAGTCAGTTTTGGAGATGCTCAATAAGTTTCAGTGATCGTTATTGGTTTTTCTGATGTTAGGTCAAAGTTTCATATTCTGTTGGCCTTGTTGTGTGCTGTATGTATGGCCTACTAATGCTTGCATCAGTGTCTTCTTCGTGTTTTTTTGGTGAAATTATTGTTCCATGGGAAGTATGAAGGAGAGAACCCGAGTTGGGTGATGTTTGGGAACTTGAGAAGAATGACAGAGGGATTTGTTGTATTAAACTGATTGACTAGATGGGATAAGGAAGGTGGCTTAGTGAGAACGGGCAAGGGATTGTTTCTGTGAAGAAAGAGCAGTTGCTGCTGAAGCATATGGGAATGATACCATACAATGTATGCCCTTCTTACCTTTGTAGTTAATTGTTTTTTTGTTATTCACAGGGGGAAAAATTTTGGCACCTCTTATGGATCCATCAGATCCTTTATAGGTTATTTGCTGGTAGAACAACAAGAAATTGTTCTCATCTCTCAGATGCACTGTTTCCTTTATATTCCAGTTGAAGTTACTTTATTCTTAGATTATGAAGAAAGCGTAGTTTGCTGCTGAATCATATGGTACTGGTTTTTTTTTTCCTTCGCCATATGGTACTGGTGTTTCAATGGTCCCAGAGAGACACTGAAATTTACCAATGTTTGCTTATCTGCAAGGTCATTCCTCACAAAATTATATGCCAAAATAGTTGAATAGTATGAATACCATAAGCTCATGGGACCATATCATGCAACTGTATCAACTGAGATTGGAGTGATTTCATAGCTATGAAAGTTGATTCAAACTTAGGAATGCTATATTTGTTTTAGACAAGCTATGTAACACGGGATATGGATACGACATGACATATCGACACGTCAATTTTTGAAAAAGTAGGGCATGAGTACGGCTTGGATACGGCTATACATAAATATGAATTTTTATTTATATACATATACTGAGTAATAGTATTATAAAACTTTAATTCATTCATAATTTTTATATTAAGAAGTGTGATGACTTTTATATCATATGTACAATTATTCCACTACTTTGTTGTAATAGTGTTTTTATTTTAAATAAACAAATATTATTTAATACTTCACTTGCGATCATATGTGTATAATGTTATTTTTTATTAAAGAAAAAAGTTGGACACTTTAAAAATGTGTTCATATTATATATTCTCAAGATTATCAGGTAGTTTTGTGTTATAAATGCTTGAAATGTCAGTTTAAGTGTCAAGAAATGTCGGCAAAATGTCCAAAACAATAAAAATTTATTTTTATTTACGGACACGTATATAAAATGTCGGACACGTGTCTGAGAAGTGTTGGTATCCGATATGGACATAATACGAGCACGATTCCTTCGTAGGAATGTATGTGTTATAGCTGTGGGATATCTTTGTGACAATGTTGTGGTTATGAATAAATTGCTTTTATTTACTTTATTTCTGATTAATTTTTACATTCTTTTTAAAATGTGACACGATGAAAGTTTTTATTAATATTATTACTAATCTTTCATTGAAATGAAAATATAATAGGCATAAGCGAAGAACAACAATACATATGTGGCCGAATTTTCAATGGCAAACTTTTAAACAAAAAATATTATACCCGAACATATCTATGTTTGTAATTTTTTCGTCGTTTTTTATGAAGAATATTTTAACACTTTTTAAATAAATAAAAAATCAAATTATATTATTCGATTTATAAACATGTATTTTTCTTGCACCATATTTTATTATCTATAATAAATTGGGCTTACAATTAACAACAAAATAAAAGTTATTACTAGTAATTACCAATTTCATTCCATATTCAAAATTTTTTTTTTTTTTTTTTTTTTTTGAACAAGGACAAGCTTAAAACAAATGAAAATGACAATCAACATGAGCCAGCTCCAGAATATTCCATAGAATTTGTTTCAAAACAGTATAAAGGAGAAATAATTCTTCGACACAGTTTAGAATTTATTGGCTTTCTTTTTCTTTTTTCCTGAATTATTTTGGCTTTCTTTTGGAAAGCTCTATTATGTTAAACCTTTACCTTTTCTTTTAAAATACAGGCACTGTAACGAAAGTACTACAAGCTACTTTTTTGGTTAATAGTACTTAAACACTAATATTTAATTTATTTATTTTAGAAAGTTAAAGCATATAAAAATCACTTTGTTGTTTTTGGTTTTAGAATGTGAAAAACATGTAAGTAAAGCATGAGAAGGTTATTGCCACTTTATTTATTTATTTATTCCTTCCTCACACTATTTGTTTTGAATTGTATTATTTTTTATTTTCTCATCACACATTTAATATATGGTGTGAATTTTCATTTATTTCATTCTTAAATATATTAATCCCTAATCATTTTTAATAAGACATATAAATTATATATGTGTCACTGTGGAGGGAAAAATCTCCCTCCAATAAGAATGGAACACGTCACCATTATATAAATCTGCATTTGGGAGATTTCAGAAGCCTATCCGGATCATGCCCAAATTACGTTGTGCTTTAACCCATCATCATTTATGTTGGGCCTCCAAGGTCAGGTAAGAGTATCGATTAGCCCAACATTACCGCTATTGAAGTTTTGGCCCGTTGGTCAAATCACTTACACCAAACCACATCCGGCCCAAGTATAATTAAATATGGCTCAGTCCTATTAAGCAAAGGAGTCAACCCAGAAAGAAAGTTTTTATACAAAGCAAGTTCTACGTAGAAAATATCTCACAATAGAAAGAACTCTATTTGTAAAAAAAAAGTCATGTATGAGAAGAATTGGAGGACAAGCAACGCGAGTCCTACCATAATTCTACCAACTTTTGTGTATAAATAGAGGCCTAGACCTCCAATAAAGGGGCGAGCAATTCAATTCTTCTCTAGATACTGTTCTTATTTATTTTTATTATTTGTTGAGTGTGTTGTATTATTTTCTCTCAATCGTAATTGGTTGAGCGGAATTTTGCACCTACACTTTGGCGCCGTCTGTGGGAACGTGTGCAAATATATTCCCACTCTTGTTTCACAGGTGAATCCTGCAACTACCATCCGGAATGTCGAACGGAGGATCTTCAACGGATCAACAGACGGAGTTGATGCAGAAGATGCGTGAAGAGTTTCTACACCAGTTTGACGTACTTCGTCAGGCAAATGAAGCAAGCGTGGCTCAGATCGCCTTGCTTCAACAGCAGAATAACGCTCTGCAAACGGCGATGGCTCAGTTAGCACCACCGCCACCAATGGGTGACACAGCAGCACCCCCTAATCAGAATATTCCTCCGGTTACCGGGCTTCCACCTAATGGGGCACGACCCAATGAGGCTTAGCCAAATGAGGTTCAGCAACAACAGAGGGCAAGATCCGAGACTGTGGCTTCAGATAACGTCCCTCGTCGCACGCAGGACGAGCAAGTCGAGTCTAACCATAAGCTCACGGTGTGGTCCAATGGAATTCCAGATGGTGCAGGTGTTCAGGATGCCTTTGATGAGAAAAGACTTCTGAAGATTTAAACACCTGCTGAGATGGCTAGAGAGCACAAAAACTCCTTGGTCAAAACTCATTTCACTGATGATGTGTATATGGTTGAGAGGCCCAAGAAATTTACCATGCCTTCTTTTACTCAGTTTGATGGAACGGGGGATCCTTCTCGACACCTAGATCATTACGCCCAAAAAATGGCTTTGGATGATCGTAATGACCCTTGGATGTGCAGAGTTTTTCCTACCAGCTTGACAGGAGCAGCACTAGAGTGGTTCAAGAATAGGCCACATAAGTCCATCCCTGATTACGTAACTCTATGCACCATGTTCCTGGCACAATATTGAAACAAGAAGCAAAAGAAAAGTATTGCCAGCCTCTTCACCGTAAGTCAAAAGAAGGGGGAAACATTGTAGGATTTCTTATCTAGATTCAACATGGAAGCTTCGAAAATAGCAGATTGTCATCCCGAGACTGCTATAGAAACATTCAAACTTGCGATGATTCAGGGGACGAAGTTCCACACTTCTTTGGTCAAATATTCTCCTCCCAATATGCAGACTCTCAATGCCAAGGCCCAGATCTACATTCGGCTCGAGGAAAATATAGCCCACCGAGCGTAGCACGCCACCCTCGTGATAGTGGAGAACAAGCCTCGAGAAAGAATTCCAAATTCAAAGATTCAGAAAAGCCAACGCGCCTCAACGCCGATCACCCAGGCACCAGAAAAGAGGCAAAGGATAGAGGAAGGGTTTACACCTCTCCGAACTACCTCGGCTCGGCTCTTCCAAGAGAATAAGATGAAGTTCACAGACCCGCAACCAATAAAGCAACCCCTGGAGCAAAGGGACAAAAGCAAATATTGCGCTTATCATCGAGATTATGGGCATTCAACCAATGATTGCAGATCCCTTAGGCGACAGGTGGAAAATATGATAGCCAGAGGTGAGTTGGCGGACTACCTCATGATAAAGGAGTATGTAAAGCCCCGCGAGGTCTATCCTCGCAAGGTAGAAGGTACGCAAGTAAAGGTCATTCATGCGATACATGGCAGGTCTGAAGATGATCAAGAGTCCGAGGGGGTATACAGATCCAGATTGAGGGCAGCCCATAAGCTCAGGAAGATATCCTCGGTCAATGCTATCGCTTCGGGTAGCATCAGTATTGGATTTGGAGATGGTGACCTATCCAGAGTTCAACTCCCCCATGAGAATCTATTGGTCATCAGTCTTTTAGTGGCCAATTGTATGATCAAGAGGGTTTTGATAGACCCAGGAAGTAGTGCCAACATTATCACAAAGACGGTCTTTGAGCAGCTAGAGATCTCGTCATTATCTATTCGACCTACCTCTAGCCCATTGATGGGATTCGATGGCACAAGAGTAGATCCCCTTGGAGTAATAGACTTATCCGTAACTGCGGCAAAGATGACTCTGAAGGAGAACTTTGTTTTAACAGAGATCCATCCTTCTTATAATCTCATCATGGGGAGAGGTTGGATACACCGAATGAGAGGAGTTCCGTCCACCCTTCACCAAGTGATGCGGTGCTTGGCTCCAGACGGAAAAGAAGTGATTAATCTATGGGGGGATCAAGTCGCTGCGAAGGAAAGCTATATGTTGACACACGCTGAAGCAAAGAAGGTGTCTACTCAGTAGTAACCAGGTGTGGCTTCCAAAAATATACCTAAATAGCAATCACAGAGCCCTCTGCCCAAGTATGTTAAGGTAGAGGAGGAAGAGGAAATTGTGAAGCCTACAGAGGAGACCCTTGAAGCCGTGGAAGTTATCCTCGGCGACCCTCAGAAGGTCACTTATTTAGGCTCTTCCTCCACATCCGAAGAAAATGAAGCATTAATTGATGTCATTCGGAGCAATGCAGATGCTTTCGCATGGGATCATTCGGACATGGTAGGAATCGATCCTTCAGTCTCCTGCCATAGCCTGAAGGTGGATCCGGAGTTCAAACAGGTTAAGTAGAAGCACCGAAGGTTTGCCCACGAGCACAATCGCATTTATAGCTGAAGAAGTGAACAAGTTGTTGCAAGCAGGTTTCATTCGAGAAGTGCAATATCCACAATGGCTGTCAAACGTGGTGGTCGTACAAAAGAAGAATGGAAAGTGGAGGGTTTGTGTAGACTATACCAACTTTAACAAAGCCTGCCCTAAAGATAGCTTCCCTCTGCCCATGATAGATCAGATGGTTGATGCTTCTATCGGCTACGAGAGGTTAACATTCTTTGATGCATACTCGGGATACAATCAAATTCCTATAAACCCTGAAGATGAAGAAAAAACGGCTTTCATTACAGAAAATGGGACTTATTGTTACAGGGTCATGCCCTTCGGGCTGAAGAACGTTGGGGCTACTTATCAACGCCTTGTCAATAAGATCTTTGACAATTTGTTGGGAAAAACAGTTGAAGCATATATAGATGACATGGTGGTCAAAAGTGTGAAGAAGGAAGACCATCCGAAGCACCTCCAGAAGGTTTTCAATACCTTGAAGAAGTACAACATGAAGCTGAATCTATCCAAGTGCTCCTTTGTGGTATCGTCAGGTCAATTCCTCGGCCACATAGTGAATAAAAGAGGGATAGAGGTAAGTCCGGCTTAGGCTAAGGCCCTCATATAGAATCAGGAACCAAAAAATCGTAGGGAGGTATAAGTTCTTACCGGTCGGATCGCAGCCCTCAGCCGGTTTATATCCCGATTATTAGATAAGTGCAAACCATTCTTCGATGCTATAAGATCTAAGAATAAAGATATTTGGGGACCTCAGCAGCAGGAGGCCCTCCATCAGTTGAAAGGTTATATGGCCGAACCACCAATTTTATTCGCTCCAAAACCCGGGGAGGTTCTTATTATGTATTTAGCAATTTCTAGCATAGCGACAAGTGCAATATCCAATCTTCTACACAAGTAATACAATGACGGATGCGGAGACACGGTATAACAAGGTAGAGAAAATCATCCTAGCCTTGGTCTACGCCAAGAGAAAGCTTCGGCATTATTTTGAATCTCACAGCATTGTGGTACTCACCAACTATCCTATACGGGGTATACTCTCCAAGCACGATCTATCTGGAAGAATTACCAAATGGGTTATCGAGCTCAGTTCCTTCGGCATAACTTATAAGCCGAAGGTGTCGCACAAAGGACAAGCCGTAACAGACTTTCTTTTAGAATATGAAGACACTGCCGAAGAGCCGGAACCCCCTGAACCATAGTGGGAGCTTCGGGTCGATGGCTCCTCGAATCAAACAAGTGCAGGGGTAGGGATTGTTATGTCAACACCCGAAGACACCAAGTTGCAGGAGTCGATTTGCTTGAATTTCCCTGCTACGAATAATGAGGCCGAATATGAGGCGTTACTTGCTGGTCTTCGATTGGCTAGTAGCCTCCAGGTACGTTGTTTAAAGGTTTTTAGTGACTCACAGCTTGTTATAAATTAAGTGACAGGTCAGTATCATCCCAAAGAGGAAAGAATGAAGGCATATAAAGAAGCTGTGGAGAATGTTACACGAGGATTCGATCAAGTCGAATTCTGTCAGGTACCTCGTATTGAGAATGCCGAAGCAGATCAATTGGCCAAAGCAGCGTCATCCTCAAATGAAAATCTGACTCGGATTATGCCGATTGACGTCTTGGACGAACCCAGCATTAACCTTCAGTAAGAAGTAATGGTGATTCCAGTTATTCCTCGAGAACTATGCTGGATTGATCCATTAGAAGCCTACCTCAAGCATGGAATTCTTCCAAACCAGAAACCTGAAGCACAGAAGCTCCGACTCACCGCAGCTAAATATGCCATCATTAACAACCAGTTATACCGGAAGTCATTTTCAGGTCCTTACCTAAAATGTTTAAGCCCTACTGAGGCTCTTGTGGTGTTAAAACAAATCCATGATGGAGATTGCGGCAACCATTCTGGGGGTAGATCCCTTGTACATAAAGTTCTAACTCAAGGCTACTTCTGGCCGTACTTGGCCTGGAATACTGAAGAGTATACTTGGAGATGTGACAAATGTCAACGCCACGATCCAATGAAACATTAACCTGCCGAAGATTTGCATGCAATGGCAAATCCATAGCCATTCGCACAATGGGGGATTGATATGGTGGGCCCTTTACCCAAGACCGTGGAACAAAAAGAGTACGTGCTACTGGCTACAGATTATTTTACTAAATGGGTAGAAGCCGAGGCTTACTCAAGTGTGACCCATGAGCAGGTAAAAAGTTTCCTTTGGAACAACATCATTTACCGGTTTGGGGTCCCGAAAGTCATTATGATGGACAATGGTAAGAACCTCGACAATAAAAGTACAAGAAAATTCTTTGCTGAGCATGGAATTGTACAAAAGCTAGCTGCAGTCAGTCATCCACAAGGGAATAGACAGGCTGAAATAACTAACCGAACCATTTTCAGTTGTTTAAAGAAGAAGCTGGAGAAACTCAAAACAAAATGGTACGAGAATCTACCTCAGGTGTTTTGGGCTTATTGAACCACTTCACGGCGGCTCACGGGGGAAAGTCCCTTTGCCATGGCTTATGTATCCAAAGCTGTGATCCCAACCTAAGCGGCAGTTCCAACCCTTCGGAAATTCTTGTTGCTTGACGGAAACAATAATCAGCAGCTCGAACATAGTCTCGATCTCCTGGACGAAAAAAGGGATGCTGCAGCAATTAGGCTTGCTTCATATCAGCAACAGTTGCGCAACAATTATAACAAACGCGTCAGGTTTAGGAGCTTTATGGTAGGCGATTGGGTTTTGAAGTAAGAGACAGCTCATGTAAAGAAACTGGAACCTAATTGGACCGGACCCTATAGGGTTACCGAAGTAGTAGGGAAGGGAGCATATCGTTTGGCCGAAGCTGATGGACGTCCCATTGCGCGTCCTTGGAATGCAATACACCTTTTATATTCAGTACAATTCTACTCCATTATTTCTTTCCATAAAAATGGGGGCCATACTACTCTGTGATTATGCAACTTTGCGTCGCATTATGCAATTTTTATGCAAAGAAATTTTCATACTACTCTATGATTATGCGATTTTTATGCATGCCAAGTCGTACTATGCAATTTTTATGCAAATCAATGTTAGAAGCAAGTAATTAAAAAGCATTCGTCACAATGATTTTTAAAGCATGAGTTATAACCTATGGTTAAAACTCTCTGTCCCATATAGACAAAAAAGTATGTGTTACATTCTATTATATATGGGAATATTCAAATAGTTGATTGCGGTGTAAGGAGGGCCCACTGGTATTAAAGGCTGCCAAGCCCAATACCAGAGGTATTCCTTACACCGACCTTTTTGACAAAAATAGTCTATGTCCCACATCGGATAGAAATAGAAAAGAAATGCAGTTAATATATACGTAGTTCACTACATTTGATTGCCAAGAAGGGAGTATCAATGGAGGAAAATCTCCAAAGTAAACAAATAGGAAACTTCCCAGCCACTGTTACTCGCTTTCTTGGCCTCCTATCATTTTTGAGTCTTCGGTCTCATGATAAGTTGTTTGAAAAAATATATACAAACCTCCCCTCAGGCTCAGCGCCTGGGAGGAACCTACTCGCCTCGGACCCTAAGTGTCCGATTCGGCAAACCTCCCCTCAGGCTCAGCGCCGGGGAGTAATTTATTCGCCTCAGACCCTAAGTGTCCGATTCGGCAAACCTCCCCTCAGGCTCAACGCCGGGGAGTAATTTATTCACCTCGGACCCTAAGTGTTCGGCTCAGCAAACCTCCCTTTAGGCTCACCGCCGGGGAGGAACCTATTCGCCTCGGACCCTAAGTGTCCGGTTCGGCAAACCTCCCCTCAGGCTCAGCGTCGGAGAGTAATTTATTCGCCTCGGACCCTAAGTGTCCGGCTTAGCAAACCTCCCCTCAGGCTCAGCGCCGAGGAGTAACCTACTCGCCTCGGACCCTAAGTGTCCGGTCCGGCAAACCTCCCCTCAGACTCAGTACCGGGGAGTAACCTATTCGCCTCGGACCCTAAGTGTCCGGCTCGGCAAACCTCCCCTCAGGCTCAGCGTCGGGGAATAATTTATTCTCTTTGGACCCTAAGTGTCCGGCTCAACAAACCTTACTCTTACACTCATATTCACTGACTCTATGTTCGGTAATATGAGCCACGAGATTATCCCACATCGAAAAACTACAAGAAGAAACAAGTATAAATATACTTACTTCACACAAATCCATTTCAAGAAGGGTTCCCTTGACGGTTAAATCACCCTCTATTATCAGATAAACCGTTAGAGAAGATCTCTTCTTCACATCTTATTTATTTTGCTTCGGACTAGAACAGATAAGGACCCCTCAAGCAGGGTACTTTCCTTAAAAATAATCCCATCCAATAAAGTGTGTGCAATTAAAAGCATACTCAATCGAAGCAGAATAAAGGCGACACAGCTTGAGAAACATGGTTATATCATTCATGTCTGTCATTCCCAATATTATTTCATTACAAAAAAAAAAGAAAATAAAAATAAAAAAGAGGTACTTGGTCCTACTTCCTCTTCGGATCAAACGGGGTAGATTCAAAAGCATCAACCAGAGCTGGACTTGTAGGTGGAGGATTTGATGGGCCAGTTGCAGGAGTAGAGATACTTGGAGCTGAAGGGACCTCAGGATGAGCTTTCACCATCTCGGCGAAAAGAACTTCAGCTTCCTGAGCCTTTGGACCCTCATCATAAGGGAAAGACATCCCCATATGAGTATCAAAAGCCTTGGGATCTGTTGTTTTTTCCCCTGAACCCTGATTGAAGCCGGACCTGAAGGCCTTAGCGCTAGATAAGCGCACCAAACTGGAGTAACGCCCTTGCATCTGCCTCTCTGCAATGATGCAGGTGCTAAGGGCATCATTCAAACGCTGGACTTCAACCTCCAGCGACTCCACTTTTGCATCAAAAGCAGCCAGACGCTTCTTATAAACATCCCTGGCCTCATATGCAATTTGTGTATTTACAATGGCATGGGATGCTTTCTTCTCAAAATTGCTGAGGTCTTTTTCCAGCTTCTAAATGGAGAGAGATTGAGCCTCAGCAGTGGCACAAAGAGCCATGGTGTGATACAGGCCTTGCATTATCAGATAGAGACAATAACAATATAAGAAAATTAGTGAGATAATTATGATAATGGAAGAAGAGGGAATGAGTAAACCTCTATGGCTCAAACAGGGGCAGATGGGAGTAGTTGTTCCAATCCCATTCTACCAATAATTTCTTCATCCTTGGGGAGCCACATTCCCCGAGCAACAGCCAGCGCTGCAGATGGATCAGTGATTATAGAATCACCAATATGGAGGATGGCCTTGTCAGCCCTTGAGAAAGAAGGAGTCCTAGGTGCCCAAGCCTCAGCAAGGACGTAAGCGCTGACCTCATCTTCAGGGTTAATCTCTTCAGCTTTATTTCCTTTGCTTTTTTGGGTTGGAAACACCCTTGGGTTTCGTGGTTGAAGAAGAAGTCAACCTCGCCTTCTTGTTCAAAGGAATTTCGTCAATCTCCTTCTCCTGTTCGCTTGAGCGCAACATAATTAATAGGGCACTCTCTGCAGCCTTCCTCTTTAAGGCTTCAGCCCTTTTTTTTTTCTTCCTCAGTCAATGGGAAGCTGTCAAATAATGGAAGTGAGAGGTCTATGAGATCAGCGGCTACAGCTCTGGAAGCAACTGCTTTGAGGTTTGCAGAGGTAAGCAAGTCCTCAACTGAAGGAGGGTCTCTCCAAACTTGCCCTTCAAGGAAGGAAAACCTCTTCTTGGCAGCAGAAGAAGGAAATGTCACTGAAAAAACACCAAGAAACTCATAATTATATCGAAAGAATAAGACTCGACATGGGAAACAGCCAGAACAATCTTTATGAAGAAATGGGGGATGTTCTATACCTAACTTCCCGAACTTGTGAAGGATTGGGAGTTTGCTCGATTGGGGCACGGCCCATCTCCCTTTAACAATTATCATCCTCTCTTTCCACTTCTTCTCAAAAGTAGAGAGGTCTGTACATATCCTTTGGTGCAAGGGAGAGGTGAAAAAGAAACGACCAGGTTCGGTCCCGTGCTTAGAATTGAAATAAGTAATCAGTAAGTCAGCCAGAGTCAGGTCAAGACTCTTTAGCCATCGGTGAATAAGGAGTGCCGAGATTACTTGAAGGAAGTTAGGGTTTACTTGCAGGGGTGTAATCCCCAATTTGTTAAAGACTAAGTGATAGAAAGGATGAAGGGGGAACCTAAGAGCGTTGAGATGCCCAACAGAGAGGAGCAACTCGTCTTCTTCGACGCCCTCGCCGGCGCAAAAATCGGCGCCCTTGGGGTATTTTGCAATTTCTACCCCCTCGGGAATCTCGAACTCTTCCATTACGGATTCAATGGAAAACGGGGTACGACGAATAGATAAAATTGCATTCCTTTCTTCCTTAGTAAAAATATTGTCCGACCCAGAGGTGGATGTTTCAGCCTGGATTGGGGAAATATCCGGCTGATTAATCGAGTCATTTGCAGGCTTAGGGAAGTTTGAAACCCTAGGAAGAGGAACCCTAATGAGATTAGGGGAAGACGAGGGTGTGGACTCAGAGTCTACGATTTCTATATGCTCGGGAGTAGTCGAAGTACTCATAATGTAAGATTGGAAGAAGGGAAAGAAGAACTAACCTAGAGATATGAGAATATGAAGAACGCAGTAGACAGAATGAGCACACTGAGAACAAAAACGAGTCTTGAAGAAGCCCTTGAGTTAGAATAACAATAGACACAAATGGAAACGCCTCGTGCGAGAATGACAACTGCACAACTTCAATTCCCCTTTAATTAGGAGCCGTAACCCAATTAAAGAGGAATTGGGGGCAAAGTGTAGAGGGAAAAATCTCCCTCCAATAAGAACGGAATATGTCACCATTATATAAATCTGCATTTGGGAGATTTCAGAAGCCTATCCGGATCAAGCCCAAATTACGTTGTGCTTTAACCCATCATCATTTATGTTGGGCCTCCAAGGTCAGGTAAGAGTATCGATCAGCCCAACATCACTGCTGTTGAAGTTTTGGCCCGTTGGTTAAGTCACTTACACCAAACCACATCCGGCCCAAGTATAATTAAATATGGTTCAGTCTTATTAAGCAAAGGAGTCAACCCAGAAGGAAATTTTTTATACAAAGCAAGTTCTACGTAGGAAATATCCCACAATAGAAAGAACTCTATTTGTAAAGAAAGTCATGTATGGGAAGAATTGGAGGACAAGTAACGCGAGTCCTACCATAATTTTACCAACTTTTGTGTATAAATAGAGGCCTAGACCTCCAATAAAAGGGCGAGCAATTCAATTCTTTTCTAGATATTGTTCTTGTTTATTTTTATTATTTGTTGAGTGTGTTGTATTATTTTTTCTCAATCGTAATTGGCTGAGCGGAATTTTGTACCTACAGTCACTAAATGGGTTAAGTAATTTTTTAAAAATTCCATAAAATTTACAATTAAAAAAACCTAATTTTTTTAAATCAAATGTTTGAAATTGGTAGATGTGTAAATTCTATTTCATTTGTGTTATTGATACTGGGGAGTGGAGGGAAAATTGAAACATGGATATTGGTCAGAGAAAGAGATGGAAATAAATTCAATAAAAGATACAAGTCGTGTTTTTTAACTTTTTATATCTAATTATCAGGGAGAAACATAATATGAAGGGCAAAAGACGAATAAAAGCATACATTTACACAATATGATTCTTAATATAGATTCATAATATTAAAAATAAAATCTACGATAGGATTTATTGATCAATAAAAAAAATTAAGGAAAAAAAAAAAATTGTAGTTTTGATTTTATGGTATTAGTAGGTAACGCAATAACAATGTAATGGTATCGAAAATATTGATCAAAATATATTTGAAATTAGTTACGTGATTTTTTTTCCTTATAAAATTTAACGGAAATATTATTTGTCTTACCATGATGTTTCATGCAATAATTCCCAGTAGATATTGGATCGATTCCTTCACTACAGTAGTATTCTTGATCAATAGATTGCCCCAGGAAATATATGCTTCAAATGACCTTCCGAAAAAAAAAAAAAATATATATATATATATATATATATATATATATATATGCTTCAAATGATATTTAAGATATAATTAATCTTATACTAATATGTCAAATAATTAATAATAGGCTAAAAATAATTAATTAAATATTCAACTTGATATTTAATTAAACATGCAAATTAAAATAATAAAATAATAATAAATAAAGAACCGAGACTAGTATTGGATATTATGTTCTTAAGACAATTTACGCCCCGCATGGTGTTAACAGACTCTGTGGCTCTTGTCTCCCAGGATACAACGGTCTATATCCACCAGTTGCAAAACTACATACAACGAACCTCCTCCGTTTAATACTCTCTGGCTCAAAAAAATGCATCTATAATATATAGATGCTGAATTAGATGCAATCCGAACCAAATGGTTCAGACCAATCTTAGTATGGCTCGATGAAATTGGATTAGGGTCTAAGTGGCTCGAACCACTTGACCTATGGTACGTTTGAACCCACTTGGGTTGGGTTCAAATCTAGAGAGGGATAGAAGAAAATGAATTAAACGAATTGCAAATGGCAGTCCAAAGGGGTATTTATAGAAATAGAAACGCCTTTTTGGATTGGGTATGTCTCCTCGTCATTGAACATAACCATTCATAGATATATATATATATATATATATATATATATATATATATATATATATCTTCATCACTTGACACAATTATTTATACGTGTCACGTTATCACTTGATACAACCATTTATATATATATATATATATATATATATCTTCATCACTTGACACAATTATTTATACGTGTCACGTTATCACTTGATACAACTATTTATAGGTTATGTATGCACATTTTTGGTAATCAATCAAAAAATCAAATGTTCCTTCCTTTTATGAGATTTCTTAGGGAAAATCATTATGTGACATAAAAAAGATTTTGAGAGAATTGTAGGAGTTTGTGTTTAACATGATTTAAAAAATTGTTCATACCAAATTTTATCGCTGATATATGTGAGAGGAAGAGAGCTTTGTGATTCTAAGATTTTACTTTGAAAGGGAGAAAGAAATTTCATTTGTTGTAATTTTACATTTTTGATTTCATATGATGAGTAAGCAAGATTTTAATTAATTAATTATTATTTATATTTCTTTTGAATGATAAAGCAAATGCACACACTCATATTTTGCCCGCTTGAATGATCAAATTCCTTTTTTAAAAAGAGAGAGTTTATACCATCTAAACTAAAGTATATTAGTAGCAAGAGCAAGTTGTGCTAGTATAATGTAAACATTTTTCTGCTTCAAAAGAAATAAAAAATGTAAAACTGAAACAGTTGTCAAATGAGTTTAGGTTTTATTTGCATCCTTTTCCTATTTTTGTTTATAGTTCTGTTTTTTCATGATCATTTTTTCCTTTCTTTCTTGTGGGGGCATGGGTTTAGCGTTTCTTTACTTTTAAAATTATGCATAAAATTGTCAGTAGAATTAAAAAATTTCTTATCATTTTTTTGTTAGTATTTTAAAATTGTAATTAATTAATTTATTAATATAAACTATAATATATGATAACGATAGAAAGACAAAATATACTGAGAATTCAATAAAAAATTCAGAAAGTTAAAAAGTACACGTATAATAAAACATTGGGACGAGGATTATTCACTCACCATGACCCGACCCGACCCGGCACATAAATATCACGGGCTCTCTTCAACTATAAATATCTGGACCATATACTACACGATCAGGAACGTTTTCTCCTCTCTCTCTATCTCTCTCTTCCCTTCTCTCTCTCTCTCTCTAAACTGCTAAAAAGATCAGTGGATCAGGTACTACTTCTACTACAGTATAAATAGTTATTGTTGGTAACGATTCTATTGTTCGTATGAACTAGGGTTTCGTGATTTCGAATTCGCAAAAGATATGTATCGATTATTATTCTCTTAAATCTCTCTACGTCCAATTCACTTGCTCTTTTTTACCCAATTTCCAAATCTTTCATAAATTCACTTCCTCTTTCTCTCTGAAACTTCTTATCTAAATCCACACAGGTCCACGAATTTTTCGATGCCCATGGATCAAGCCGAGCTAACGACCGAGCAGGTATTTTATACACTCATATACTTCAATTGTTAGCTTAATTTTGAACTTGATTCCGTAACCTAATTTCGGGTTTTAAGTACTTATATTCTTTTTTGTAATTTTTTTTGTGTGTATTTGGATTTAGATCTGATTCTGAGATATGTGTGCCCATTTATGCACCGTTCAAATGTAAACTCTGAGATATGGAAAAAAAAAAAAAAAAAAAAAAAAAAAACTTAAATGCAAATGCAAATGCAAATGCGATACGGCTAATTACATCTTGACATCTGATATGGGATTCACCTAAATGCATATTTTGTTAAATTAACATTGAGTGGGCCAATGTGTTTATACGATGAGGTTTAATTGATTGGTGATAATGACATTTGCAAAATAAATCATGTTACTCTAGACTCTTAAGACCTCATAGAGTGTTTTGTTTTTTCAATCGTCAGTTATTTATTTATTTTTTTTTATAGAATTTAACTACAATAAAAGATGCACTTTAAGATTTTCTAAGTACTATCTTATAAACACATCTAGAATGATATGGGCAAGTGAAAATATTTCCTTAAAATGTTGAACACTATTATTACCTTGTGGACTGACCAAAACATTCTAGCTTTGTATGGTTGAATTTGAACACTATTAGTAGAAACATATAGTAATTTAAATAAGTAACTAATTGTTATCTTGTTCATGTTGAAGGTCTTGAAGAGAGATATCCCATGGGAGACATACATGACAACTAAGCTGATCTCTGGAACAGGTCTTCAGCTGTTAAGACGTTATGATAACAGAGCAGAAAGTTACAGAGCAACACTGCTGGATGATGTAATATTGAATTGCTCTTTATCCCTTTAGCTGAATATTATTAGTTATCTGATTTAATCAGATTCAAGGTCTTATGGTTTACTTCTCTTAAATGTAGTGCTTCTGATGCCCGCATATAATTTTGTTCCCATGCTTGTCATCCCTGAATCAAAATGATTTTGAGACTATGCATTTTATTGAGACTGCATTTTATTCAGAACCTGGATATTTTTTATGTTAATTGTCCACGACCTTTTTCTTTTTCTTGTTTAACCTAGAAATGCAAAATTGAACTTTATCTCATCTATATGTCATGAGTACTGAAGTAATAAAAATTGCGTTTTAGGTTGTGTCACTCTGTGTTTAGCAGAATGTCAGAATAGTTTGTGTAGATGTTGATCATGTTACTCGTGAGGTAAAAAGAACTGTCCTAGGCTCACAGCATCTTATAGATACTTAGATATCTTATCGTTTATTTATTGACCATGTAAATCGTTTCTGGTTTACCACTAGCATGAATCCTTTTTTGTCATTCTACATCCAAATGCAGCTTATGGACATTGTGATACTTCAACTGAGACCATTCCTTCAGTATGTTTGTTCATTCTGTACTATTTATAGCTGAGTGACATTGCGACTTCAATTCTCATCATTCCTTCAACCTTTATCAGCAATGGTGTGGGATATATTAGGTTAGTAACTTTTTTGATAAGCAAATTTTCATTAAAAAAATGCTCAAAGGGAAGTGCATGGTCGCACCCAAAGAATAACTACACAAAACAATACATCTCTATATCCTCAAACTATCCACAAAATCTATGAGGTCATCTACAGAATGTAATACTTAATCACCCATATAGAAGCTTCCACACAATTGAAGGACCTCGTATTTCTCTGTCACCACAAGCCGCACCAAATACAAAGAGGAGCTGCTCTCCTTGCATCTCAAACTTGTTTTCCCACTGTGCATTCATTCCAAGATTTGAGCATGCTCGTCGTTGAAGCCGGCAAAATCCATTGCACCCCGAAAATAGCAAAAAGCATAGTCCAAACATCTCTAGCCACTAGGCAATGCAAAAGAAGGCGACTCATTGACTTCTCTCCCACTTGCATACGCAAAACCAATTGATACAATCTGTTGCCTCGTAAATTATCGGGAGTCGAAATCCTCTAAGAGCTGCTGTCCTTCCAAAGAAAGCTACCTTGAGGGGTCCCCCCGTTCTCTAGTACACTTTCCACGGGAAAGTTGCAGCCTGATCAGCCTGCAATACCTAATAAAAGGATCACGCCAAATCCTCCATTTTGGGAGTCAACCCAACTCCACTTATCATCATGCTCCCTATCCGCATTTTGCTTATATAGCAACCTAATGCAATATCCTCCATTTCTCAGTCTTGAAGTTGTCTCCCAAATTGCACATCCCATGCCACCCTCCTGTTATCAAGGCGATAACAGTTGGCCACCATAATTTTTTGTCCATTGCAATCATGAATAGTCTTGGAAATATGCATACAAGAGGTCTATCTCACACCAAACAGCCACCAAAAATCGAATGTCTCCCACTTCTCACCTTAAATCAAAATATTTAGAAAACTCATTTCCGCCCTTACGAATATTTTTTCTGTACACCCACTCCCGTTCAGGTAATCACCTCCTTGGAGATCCACCTGCTCCTTTCTCCTCCAACTTTACACTATAATTTTCCTTTAAAATTTAATTTTCTCTACCCCAAGTCTCCAAAGCCATTTACAATTTTCCTTTAAAATTTAATTTTCTCCACCCCAATTCTCCAAAGCCAAATAACCCATCAAGGCTTGGTTAAATAAGTTGAATTTCCTTACACCCAATCCCTCTTGTTGAAGAGGTTTGCAAACCTTCTCCCCAGTTCACCAAGTGAAATTTGAATTCATCTTCCATTCCTCCCCACAGGAGTTCCTCTACATCCTCTCTATCCTTTTTGCTATAGAGGAGGGAGTTTGAAACAAAAAGGGAAAACATGTTAGGATATTCGATAGGGTTCTCTTGATTAGAGTTGGTGATGTCATTTCTAAGATATTGCTTCTTCTGTCTTGCTAGCCTTTCTTCGACCTTCACCATCATTGGATCCCATATAGATAAGACCCCCGATGAAGCTCCCAGAGGTAAGCCCAAATATGACACTGGAAAGGCCCTAACACCACATCCCAAAATAATACCTAGAGTGATATGTTATTTACTTCCCTGACCGGATTAATCTCTCTTTCTAATATTCATCTTCAACCCTGACACTGCTTGACATCACACAAACACACGTCTTACTTCCTCTTAACACATCACAGAAGACAATGTTATCATCTATAAAGAGAAGGTGTGTTACCTCTAGCTGAGTAACTGTGCTCCTTCCCACCTCAAACTCCCTGATGTAGCCCAAACCTTGTGTCCTCCTCATCATCCTACTAAAGTCCTCCATCACTATGAGTAAAAGGTATGGGGAGAAAGGATCGCCTTGTCTTAATCCTCTAGAGCTGCTACAAAAGCCACCTGGGGATCCATTCACCAAAACTGAGAATTTCACCGTTGAGATGCAAAAAAGAATTCGTTGCCGCTTCTTGATGAAGCCCATCCTTACCAAAATATAAATCAAAGACTTCCAACTCACATGGTCATATGCTTTCTTAGGTTTACACACAATTCCTGGAGTACTGCTTCTGATTCCGTAATCCACACATTTGCTAGCAATTAAAAAACTGCATCCAAATACTGGCTGCCCAAAAAGGAATTTTGGGTCTCAGATACTAAACCATCAATAACCCTCCTCAACCTTGAAGCAAGAACTTCTTGCTATCATGAGCAAGACTAAAGCGCATAAAGCGCGAGCAGGAGCGAGAGCGAATTCGAAAGCGGGAGCGTGAGAATGGCAGAATTAAGTCATAAGCAGTGAGAATTTGAGCGAGAGCGTGCGCTGAGCATGAGAGCGGGAACGCGCTCAGAGCGTGAGAGCGACACCTGTTGAGAAGGATTGTGTGACTTAGGTTTCCATTGCTTCCTTTTTAACCACCTCCTAAATTTGTTGAAAAAAGGCCATGATAAATACTTCCAGTCTTGGAGCTTTATCACCATTGCAGCTTTTCAATGCCAGTTCCACCTCTTCCTCTGCGAACGATCTCTCCATCCACACTCTATCTTCCTCCAAAATACAATCAAACTCCAAATATTTCAATAACGGTCTCCAATTACAGTTTTCTGTATATAACTTCTGGTAGAATAACGCTATACCTCTTTTGATGTCTCTTCCTTACTCAACATCTCACCATCAATATGGATTTTCGCAATATAATTGCCCCTCTTATACACATTAGCCAATTAAGTTAAGAATTTTGTATTTCTGTCCCCTTTCTTGATCCACAGAGCTCTAGATTTTGGTCTTCAAGACACCACTTCTGTCGCTGCAATTTCTCTATGTTTTGCTTGCATTCCTCTCTTCTATACCTATTCACTTCATCTGGGCCTCATTCTCTTTCATTGTGATTCAAGGCTGAAATTTCCTCTAATAACCGTCTTTTCACCATTCCAGATTTCCGAAAACCTCTTGGTTCTGTCTTTTTAAGTCCATCTCTAGCAATCTGAGCTTATGAACCAAAGTGAAGCTAGGGTTTTCTCTCACTTGGAATTCATACCACCATTTCTTAACCCTGTCCTTAAAATCATGCGCTCAAAGCCACATTCTCATTTCAAAATGGAGCCTTTTCTTTCTGCTTTCCTCCACAATCGAACAACACTGGAATGCGATCAGACACGACCTTCACCAATCCCACCCGAGAAGCATCAGGAAAAATTTCCTCCCAAATCCCATGACACCAAGAGTTGGGTTGGAATCTGCCTATGATTGGACCATGTCAATCTAGTAATCAATTAGTGTATTGGCAACTGTTATGGTATTATAACTTTTTAAATCTTGATTATTCAAAAAAATAAAAAAATCAGCTGTTGGTTTGGAAAAAATTCATCAAAATTTGGAGTAGTGTTGCGCCACAGGCAATACAGGCCTTTTACAAATTGGGCTATTATTTATTACATTGGTCTATTCTTTGCCCAAGTACAACAGATTATAGAATTTGTATGTTGAAAATGTTGAAATCCTTTATGCTGTAATTCATTTGTCCTCAATATTATAGTTTTCATAGGCTGACTAGTATGGATGTTTTTTCCTTTCAATTGATAATATTGGTTCTTGGTCTTTTCTATCCATCACACTAGCTTTTGTTCCATACTCAAATAAAAGCTACTTATATTCCTTCAATGCCTCAATGTTCCATTTATCAGTTGTGGCACTTCAGATAGCTACTCCAAATGTTTAATCAGGATCCTAATTGAGAATTTCAACCAAAGTTGAATAAAAAAAATAAACTCAACAAAATTTTCAGTGATGTTAACAAATGGAAGCAACTTTGACAGGATGGTCTGGCTTATGTCCGTGTGTTTGTTAGCATTTTACGTGACATATTCAAGGAAGAAACAGTGGAATATGTTCTAGCTTTAATGGATGAAATGCTTACAGGTAATTGTTTAAAGATTTTAGTCTTATGACTACAGGTAGAAGTTTCATAACTGACCTACATTCATTTCCTTTGGCAGCAAACCCAAAAAGAGCCCGATTATTCCATGACAAGTCTCTTTCCGACGAAGATATTTATGAACCTTTCTTAAGGTAGGTTTTCACCAAAAAGCTTTTGAAGTTAAGATTGCATATCTGAAATTCTGAATGTATCTGATATATAATATTCAAGTTTTCTATATGCATGCACACTTTTTCTACACGCGCGCGCACACATATCACCCCCCATCACTCAACATACACAGTGACAGAGACAAAAAATTAGTATGCTTCTGTTTGGTTAATTTCTTCTGGGTAAGGTATTACCATATCATGATACCATGGTCCTTTACCCTTCTCTTAATGTAGCTTGATAAGTTTTACCTCGTTTTCTATTTTTCTTCTTTCTCTTGAATGCATTTTTCCCCCCTCAATTTGAGTTTGGATATATAGTGCTAAAACTCCTAAATGTAATTATAATATAAAATTTAAAGAAATCTCGTATTCTTTTCCAAGGTTGCACCATTTGTTTCTTTTAATCATGAAATTAAATATGACGTTATTTGATTAGAAATTTCAGTATTCTGCTGAAAATATCTGTTTGTTGTTTTAGTTTCAATAGAAACTTAAATTGACCTATAACAAAAGGATAAAATCTTGGACAGCGGTGCAATAAGTATGGATCACCGATACTGTCTTCTCTGACAAATTTTATAGGAATACTGTGACCAGGATGGATATATACTGGTTATTAAGACCATCTTGATAGCTTAACTTGGCCAGTTGGCCCACTATTTACATTGGAGTTTTAACCTTCAGTTTGAACTTTATGTTTGCTTTTGCTTTCTTCTGGTTATTGTAGCTTTATATACTGATATTATGTTCTCTCTTTTTTATGTAGTCATGTGACTTTTAAAGTAGTAAGATGGGCAAAGATTGAAAGGGTTTCGAGAGCAATCAAGGGTTAGGATTTAAGTTTGTTGTATCCCCAGATTAAATACTAATAAAGAAGTTAGATTTGACAGTCATTATTGTCTCTCCAAATCCTGCGTCTCATTCAACGACACTGCAACTATTTGTTGTTTTTCGCTATTTTATTGCCGAGTAGTTATTAGAGTTGTAGTTTTGCTTCTAATGAAGCAACCAGCCAGCAATGGATAGCCTTTTGCTACATTAGGTAAAGAGGTTTGCTTAGTTGATCTGTGTTACCTGTATAACGTTAATAGGCTCCTTCATGAGAAAATGAAGGGGCTTGTGTAATATGTGCACTGGGCTAGCCCCTCCCCTCCCTCCTTCCCTCCCTTCCTCTTTGTTTTTGGGTAAAATGTGTCCCTAAGAAATATTGAGGAGCTATGAATTAATAATTTATACAGAATGTGGTGTATTTTATATAAGACCAATAATATGAAGTTCTATATGAGTAACTAGTGAATTACTGATTACCATTAGTTAGCTCGTCCAGGGCCTTGTTGCGTATTGTGTTAATTATGTATTTACTAATTTTAGCGATAATTTTTATTCTCTCTCTTTTTGATAAGTAACAATGATTTACATTCTTAGTAGGAAAATGATCAAGCAGTATCCTAGAAGCATGGATTGACATACAGAAAAGTATGAATATGAATTTTGGAAGAACAAACTTTGAAATAATGCAGTTATATGAATTAGAATCTGCACTTATTCCGATTTTGAAGTGTGTTTCATGACATTCTTGATTCTGAAGCATGATTTGCATCTCTAAGAAAGTAACTTTTGGTCAATGATCATTCACATAGATTGCCATTTATACTGATATTACCATATTAATGGACCCACAAAAAGGAAAAGGGATAGTTATTTACTCACTACTCAGTCACCTTATTTAATTCTGTAGCCGGGACTGTTTAAATTGTTATTCTTGCTTTCAGTTGTAACTTGTAATTAGCAGACTGTTGATGGAAAATATTTTCCTATTTCCTGGTGGAAAAAGTTATTTACTCATGAGGTGGTTTAGGCTATTCTTATGGGCCAGGTCCATGAAAGTTTACATCTGTAAATCATTGTTGTAAGTTGTAACTAAAGAAGGATTTCCTGGAAAACCATTGTTGTAACTAAAGAAGGATTTTAATTTTTTCCCCAGAATTCTGTACATAACTTCTCTTCCCATATGATTTCCTTTTATTTACTTTGCTATTCTTTTTCCTTCTGAAATATATTTGAGTTCTTTTGTTTAATGAAATCGGTATAACTCTCAATTGGCAATAGTTTTATTAATTGGTGGAACTAGTTCTCTTATGCTGGTCAAATAAATGGAAACTATCGTATTTCACAATTTTTTTTTTTTTCCATTTTCAGGTTGCTCTGGAGAGGTAACTGGTTTATACAGGAGAAGAGCTGTAAGATTCTGTCCTTGATAGTAAGGTAATTAAATCATGATCTTCCCACAGGATTGTTCAAAGTCTTAAGAGCTTAATAGTATGGGTGTTACTTACTTTGGGAAGCATGCTTTCTTTTGCAATTTCAGCTATAGGCCAAAAGTCCAGGATGGTGTCACTGCAAATGGAGAAACCTCAAATTCAAAGAAAACGTCCACTACAATTGATGATGTTATGAAGGGACTGGTGGAATGGCTTTGTGCACAGGTTTTTCTACAGAGTATAATATGCTGCTTTAAATGTGATTTTTTCGTATGTTGTATCTCAGGTTTGACCAATTTAGGACCTTGGTTAGAGACGTCCTTGTATCTCAATCTCCTATTTAAGCTTTACTTATCTAGTGTGTGGTTGCTTAACCTTTGTCAGGTGGTTGGACTGTATGCCCTAAGATATAACACGGGATTATATGGGGGGACAAATACATGCTTAAAAAAAATAAAAAAAAATTATTCTGGCAGTTAAAATTTAAATACCTTAAGAAGTGAAAAGCTTGAAGAAGGGGGGTGATGAAAGAGAAAAAAAGGAAACTAGTATTCTAATAAATTTGGAATGTATTGAAGCCTTTTGCAATCTCTACCCTGTTTTTCCTTAGAGAAAAATTACAAAATATGTCATGCTTGAACTAAACACTTATATATGATATTATTTGCTATATAAGAACAAAATCTTAACTTCTTCTTTTTTATTATTATTTTGTAAATGTATAACCTGTTTGTTAAAAGTTTGTATATACAAAAGGTTTGAAGTGAGTTATATTCTCTTAGTGAACTCTCAATTATTTTCTTTCAAATATGGTTCCATATGTTCAGGTGTAAAGATTTATTTCTCATGATACTAGTCTTTGCATCCATAATGATCCATGATTAATTGTGCAGCTAAAGAATCCTTCCCATCCTAGTCGTGGCATCCCAGTAGCTATCAATTGCCTGGCAACATTATTGAAGGAGCCTTTGGTCAGAGCTTCATTTGTTCAAGCAGATGGGGTGAAGCTGCTCATCCCTTACATTTCTCCAGCATCAACTCAGCAGTCCATCCAGGTAATTTGTCCTTTTCTGGATGGCCAGTAGGAATAATCTAACCATATTTACGCCCAAGCTAGCAATTAGCATATTCAGTCCTATGAATATGCAGGCTGTGTTGGTGTTCTTATCATTTATAAATCATGTGAGATTATGACTTCTAGGACTGATGACAAATTTTTTTTTCTTTCCACTTTTGTTAAGCTTAACGTGTTCTAATTTAATGATTCGGAACTTTGTTTCTTATTCACCTTGGAACAGCTCCTCTATGAAACTTGTCTCTGTGTTTGGCTTCTGTCTTTCTATGAGCCTGCACTTGAGTACTTCGCCACTTGTAGAATCCTGCTGCGATTAGTTGAAGTTGTTAAGGGTTCCATGAAAGAGAAGGTCAGTTTTTGGCCTCTTTTTCTGTTAGTTCATTCTCATATCATTTTATTCTAATGAAATTACTGCCTGCTTTAGAACTATAATGATTTTATTGCTAGGTTCATTTAGACAATTATCAGTTACATACATGTTTGACCTTTTTTCCCTAGATTTTGCTCTTCTTTTCTTGTCTGTTATTCCTAATCTGCTCAGCCACAAAACAAAATAATGTATACATACACATTCCTGACACTCTGGTGCAGGGCATATTTCGTCCATGTCAAACATTTTTTAGCAACTTGTTTACCCCTATCAACTTATATTGAAAAAAAAATTATGTTATATTCACCTGAATTGGGATATTTGGTGTATTGATGAGTGCTAGGTTGTCCGGGTGGTTGTCTTGACCCTCAGAAACTTGCTTTCCAAAGAGACTTTTGGCGCTCAGATGGTAGACCTCGAACTTCCTCATATTGTTCAGAGTTTGAAAGCACAAGCATGGAGTGATGAGGTCAGAAAGCTTTTAAAGTTTTATGTTTGTTATTCAGTCAGTCATATATAAAGTCAATGACTTTTATAACAAGGAAGGGAGTTCATGGAAGAGCAATTCTTGAATAATGTTGGTTGCTGGTTCACTTCTATCAGAGAAGTGATTGCCTCATTTACCACGTTTTTTCTTCTGGTAGAGAGGCAAAATGGAGCCTTGAATGTTTATTTTTTTTGGTTACAGTTGAGATGCGCATGTCGGAAATACATAATCTTTTTATGTAAAACAGATTTAGTTTTTATTATTGTATATGTCATGTACTGTATCGTACACTATTAGTAATTTTAATTATCAGTGACCGAATGTGGTTTATGTCAGACTTCATATACTAGCCGTTAACATAGTCTCTTTAAGGGTCCAAAGGTGGTAGTTAGGTACTGCTGCAGTCGCTAATGTTTACTCCCCATGGCTCTATCCCAAGCTTATTACAAACTTGATCCCACATTCTTTTCTTTTTCTTTTATCTCAACAACCCCAACACCCCTCAACCAACACCACCACGCGCTCCTCCCCCCCCTCCTCTTCTTTTCTTGTCCTTTTATTGGGTGAACCTCCATCCAGACCTTGGTTCTTAAAGTGAATAAATGCTATCAGTTGATTGATGGTGTTCTGCAATTTTTTTTATTTTTCTCTTTAATTCAAAATTGTAATCTAACTCAGTGAAAGTCCAAAACCGGTGGCCCTACATTTTTGCTAGCCCCTCAAACTGAGGACCAAGGAGAGAGAATGACTTGCATCCTCTTTGGCTATTTTTTCTGGATGCGTCAACACTTTCTGATGTGTGTTTCTTAGTGCTTTTGTTTTTCTCTGTAGGACTTGTTGGATGCTCTGAATCAACTGGAAGATGGACTGAAAGATAACATCAAGAGATTGAGTTCTTTTGATAAGTATAAGCAGGAAGTCCTTCTTGGCCACCTTGACTGGTCACCCATGCACAAAGATCCTGCATTCTGGCGCGATAATATAACAAAATTTGAAGAGAATGATTTCCAGGTATAAATTGTGCATTTGTTTTTTCTCTGCCATCTCTTCAAGAAGAGACTTTATAAAGAGATCTCAAATGAAGCGATGGATAACATACTCGTACTGGACAACTAATATTGTATGTCATGGATTGTGACAAAGGCCACTAAATCACTAAGAAAGGATGATGAGTAGATAAGTTGCATTGCAATCAGTTGATACTGCTGTTTTTGCTAATTATACATAAAATTTTCAACTTTCATGGGCGTTAAAAAGTTTTTAATTTTGTAATATTATTGCTTTTCAACCTAAAGTTTAGTCAACCATAAATGAGGTTATTTTAGGGGTCCAACTGTTTGATGCTGCACCAAGTGGAGAGTTCATGACATGAATAGTATTATAGGAAAGGAATATTTAAAGATAATAAGTAATGGGCATAGATACTTACACCTGGTGCTAAACCACTTCCTATTTTTACATTCTGCAAAACCCGCTGTTGGAATTTAGTTCTTTCCATATCTCTCTATTGTTGAATTTCTAATTACTGGATGATCAGAGTTCACTCTCTCACATAGGTGACGGCTGGGTGCTGTTAGGTTAAGGTGTGTGCTGAAAGTCTTTATAGCAAGTATATAAGTGGTTAGATTAAAGATAGATGGTCAAGATTTACTCACTAATATCTTTAGTGTCACTCTATGGGACTCCAACTTTTTAATGAGGCATGCATTTAATGCATTTACTCACTAATATCTGAAGTGTCACACTATGGGACTCCAACTTTTTAAGGAGGCATGCATTTAATGCTTTTTCTCCCTTGAAAATTACAATACTAACCCATTAAAATTTAAACATTTATTATTATTGTTTTTTGAAAAAGTTTTCGACACTTGAGGATAAATTGAACCTCCTGAAAAGGAATGTAGACACTTATTTTGAAATGGAGGGAGTAATAATAACTCGGTGTTTAGGTTGCCCAACATATCTATCCAAGCCCAACCCTCAGTGATAAAACTAGCCCAAACCCAACCAAATCTCTGGCCATACTCCTACTGGTCAAATCTATATTCCTAATTCGAAGTAGCAGCAAGCTGCAAGCCAACAATTTAAAATGTGGCATTACAGTCATGTCTAGGGTCGATTCCTATTAATCTAGGGTGTTAGAATGGGCAGATTGGGTACAGATCTCACACTTGGCATTGTTGGCAAAAAGTGGATGTCAAGTTGAACTCGAGTTCTGATGTCTGGTAGTCAAATCTTTTACCCATTACCAAGTAATGGCACTTTTATAGTCAATCTTGTATGGATGAGAAATTTAAGTGTGTATTTTAAGGTAGAACAAATGAAGTTGGTTGCACATAGCATTGCATAAGAGATTTCAAACAAGGAAAGTGGAAGAGGACCAAAAACCCTTTCCTTCAGATCTTGCTAGTGAGCGTGGCTTTTGATGCTGCTTCAAAAATTACTGGAGCATGGGTATTTGCTACTGGCTCCAACTCTTGTACGATGAAGATTTTATTTTATTGTTCTCTGAAAAAATTTGAAGGGCTAATAGTAATATTAGGCTGGTTTGGTTTCGGCCTTGATAAGTGGGACTTGGGGGAGTCGTTTTAGGGGCCCAATTCCTGTGGCTTAACTCTGATCTGCAGGACTTAATCTTTTGTTATCCAGGTTGAAGGATTTAGGGGTTAAATAGCTTTTCTGTCTTACTGCATCCCAGCCAAATCCTTCGTAGTAGCATTTGATGTAAAACCTTTAATAAGCTCGTCTGATTTTTGTGTCACTGCGTATGCTCACAAATAGGCTCTTGACAATTCCCTGCTGGTTATCAGGCATTACTAATATGTTATGGACAATGTAAACCTTTTGTTTTTGGGTTAAATATTTGATGTTGTTAGTGTGATATAAGGGTTAGCCAGTGCACACTAAATGAGGCTCCTGCCATTGTGGGATAGGAGGAGAGTTGGATGTACACAACCTTGCCTTCGAATGCGGAGACTGTTTCCCATTTCGAATCCGTGACCACCAAGTCAGTATGGAGCAACTTTACCGTTGTTATAAGGAGAATGGACATTTACCCTAGAGGGACTTCTAATGGTAGTTTTGCCTCCACACCCCTAATTTTTCAATTTAAGATATGCAATATTCATCCAATACTTTTGATTTGTTTGTTTTCTCCATGAATTCTTTTGCTTGTGTTGCTCCCATAGACCAACCTTCTGATTCGTTTGTACTTTGTGAAACTAATATTATGATATGGTGCCACAGATCCTAAGGGTCCTTATTACAATCTTGGACTCGTCCAGTAGTCCAAGAACGCTGGCGGTTGCTTGCTACGATCTCTCACAGTTTATTCAGTACCATCCTGCTGGACGGGTCATAGTGAACGACCTGAAGGCTAAGGAGCGGGTTATGAAATTGATTAACCACCAGGATGCAGAGGTCACCAAAAATGCCTTACTCTGTGTCCAAAGGCTTTTCCTAGGTACCAAGTATGCGAGCTTCTTGCAGGCTTAATTAATTTATGGCAGTGTCTTGGCATATTTAATAAAAAGGCTTCTAAATGAGAAAATGCCGAGTTGGCTGTGCTGTAGTTATATTCAAATTCATTTATCATGAGTTTTATGTATCATCTCTCTTTTCCTTTATTCTGTATTTGTTGTGAAGAATTATTGATTTTATTGACTTGTAGAATTAAATAAATGTCTGTGTTGTGTGTGTTTTCCAATCGTCCCCGTGAAATTCATCAATTGTTGTCTTCGCCTAGAGATGTATTTATTGGGCTTGTCTACTCGTTTAATTTTAAACTTAGTCTGTGTTTAGCAGCATGGAATTAGAATTGTTGAAATTGGAGAATATTTTGATTCAATTTTCTGAGTTGCTCTTTTTTCAATTCCAAAACTTTAATTCAATACCTTGTTGTATTGAGGAATCAACAATGCATCTGTTTTTTTTTTTGTGGGAGAGTTCCTTTTGCTTCTTCGGGCCTCCTACTTGGGCTTTGAGTGAATTGGTGCCAATTGGCTAATTTGGGCTTCCATTTTGTATCTTTCTTTTTTCAGTTAATAAACCTAATTTTAATTCAATACCTTGTTGTATTGAGGAATCCACAATGCATCTGTTCTTTTTTGTGGGAGAGTTCCATTTGCTTCTTCGGGCCTCCTACTTGGGCTTTGAGTGAATTGGTGCCAATTGGCTAATTTGGGCTTCCATTTTGTATCTTTCTTTTTTCAGTTAATAAACCTAATTTTAATAAAAAAGTAAAAAGGAAATGAAAAATGTTTTAGTTGTCTCTTATTTACACTATTTTCTCTGGTCGAGCAATACACTATTTTATTTAGGGAGGCACTGGTCGTGGTGGTGTTGACAGTGACAATGTTTAGTTGGAGGATGCACCTCATACGCCGAATCTTATAATTGGATTTAACAGAGATATACGCAAATTGGGAGCTGTTCAATTTGTCAGACCTACTGATCCACTTGATGCTGAGAAGTAGATTGAAAATATGAAGAAATATTTTGAGATGATGGACTGCATTGGGGTACAGAAGAGGAAGATTGGTATTTTTCTCTTATCTGGTGAGGTGCGTCAGTGGTGGCAGTCAGAGATCAGGATTGTTGGGGATATTACAGTAATGACATGGGATGGTTTTAAAACTCGGTTCAACGAAAAATACTTTTCACTAGCAGTGAAAGAGAAGAAGGCAACTGAGTTCATGCAGCTAGAGTAGAATAGTGATATGTCAATCAGTGGCTACGAGTGGAAGTTTACAGAGATATCCTGATTCGCTCCTCATATTGTTGCGAATGAGTTACACAATGTCAGAAAGTTTGAGCAAGGGTTGATATCTCATGTGAAGAAGTTCGTGGTTGGTCATCGTTATGACACGTATGCTAAAGTTGTAGAATGTGCCATGGCGATAGAGGAGAATAATAACATGATCTTTCAGAAACAGAAGGAACGAACAGAAAAGTAAGGGGGCTAGCAGCTCTTAACAGAATCAGAGGGGTCAACAGCAGCAAACTCAGAGAAATTTGCAGGTCAGTCTTGACAGAGAGGCAAACAAAATTGGCGAGTAGGTAAACGCCAGAGAGTTGGGGAAGGTGATCAATCCACAGCTTTAATACTAGCCACACCTCATGATGCACAGCCACATCAGTTCATCGGGCATTGCTACAATTGTCGTGAGAAATGACATATGGCTCGCAATTGTCCCAAGCCTTGAAAGGATGACCAGTAGAGAGATCAGGCACTACAGCAGCATAGAGGTCCAAGTGGTGCACGGTCCTGTCTCCCATCTGGAACAACTGCATAAACCCTTACACCTCTATGCTGCTGTAGTGCCTGATCTCTCTACTGGTCATCCTTTCGAGGCTTGGGACAATTGCGAGCCATATGTCATTTCTCACGACAATTGTAGCAATGCCCGATGAACTGATGTGGCTGTGCATCATGAGGTGTGGCTGGTACTAAAGCTGTGGATTGATCACCTTCCCCAACTCTCTGACGTTTCCCTGCTCGCCAATATTGTTTGCCTCTCTACCAAGACTAACCTTGCAAATTTCTCTGAGTTTGCTGCTGATGACCCCTCCGATTTTGTTGAGAGCTGCTAGCCCCCTTACTTTTTTGTTCTGCCTTACGTTCCTTCTGTTTCTGAAAGATAATGTTATTGTTCTCTTCTATCGCTATGGCACATTCCACAACTTTAGAATACGTGTCATAACGATGACTAACCACAAACTTCTTCACACGAGAGATTAACCCTCGCTCGAACTTTCTGACTTTGTGTAACTCATTCACAACAATATGAGGAGTGAATTGGGATAACTCTGTAAACTTCCTCTCGTAGTCACTGACTGACATATCACTATTCTGCTCCAGCTGCATGAACTCAGTTGCCTTCTTCTCATTTACCGCTAGTGGAAAGTATTTGTCGTTGAACTGAGTTTTAAAATCGTCTCATGTCATAGCTGTAATGTCCCCAACAATCCTGGTCTCTGACTACCACCACTGGCGCACTTCACCAGATAAGAGAAAAGCATCAATCTTTCTCTTCTATACCTTAGTGCAGTCCATCATCTCAAAGTATTTCTCCATATCTTCAATCCACTTCTCAGCATCAAGTGGGTTAGTAGGTCTGACAAATTCAACAGCTCCCAATTTGCGTATATCTTTGATAAATCCAATCATAAGATTCGGCGCATGAGGTGCATCCTCCAATTGAACATTGTCATGGTCAACACCACCACGATCGGTGCCTCTCTGAATAAAATAGTGTATATCTCTAGCAGTTCGTCCTCTGCCACTTCTAGCTCCTGACATCCTATTTTCAGTAAAGAATATCAATAATAAGTTTCACAAGTAATTGTACTTTAATCTGGAGCATGGTAAGAGAGTAGATGATTCGTATAACTATTTGCTCCTATTTTTATTATCACTTCTCTTAGCCAGGTAATTCTTAACCTAGGCTCTGATACCAAACTGTCACACCCTAAAATTTTAAATATAGGAACCCTTGTCTCACGTTAAAATTTAGAGTACAACATAATCTAAACCTCAACAATTATTCACAATAAATAATAAATTGAAGTAAAACTCCATCTAACAATTTATTACATAAAAGCTTCCGAGATAATAATAATCATAACATCGTCTAAATAAATCCAAGTTCTCTAAACCAACTAAACACCGTTCCACAAAAATAACATAATCCTTATCACAATTATCAAAATAGAGAAAAGCTAAGCTAAAATAAATAAATACGCAACCGGGTAATATCCATCGCCATCATGTGATCCCATCATGTTCCTACTGAACGTGTACCTGAAATGTGATAATGGGGTGAGCCACAAGCTCAACAAGAAGTGATAAACACAATCATCGTTCAACAAGCTAACCTTACTTTGTATACCCATATATATAAGCAACTCAAATAAAATGCAATAGTCAAATATGCATAACACCAGTTAATTATAAACTCAATAACCATCATTTAATTTTTATTAAGTCTACATATCTCACATGAGCTTCGGGCTTCCTTCCAATAAAGTGGTGTGAATCGTATACTCCCGGACTACCAAAAACACACGTGTGGCTAGGTTGTACGTCTACTTCCCAGAGATGATCACGGACCATGTCCACACAATAAGGGCACATTAAGCCCATGGCCATAATAAAAGGGTAATGCACTCCCAAATAGGCAGGTCCCTGACTATACCTAAAAAGTCATCATAGGGTCAGTCCCTAACTACCCCTCCGACTAATCCGAAGTCATCCATTAATTAATAATTAGAGTGAATTATGGAAGCCATTAATAATAACAATAAATTAATAATTAATACATCAAAATACATTTTTAAATTAAAAACAGAAAACTAAAGACCTAACCGGTGAGAGTACAAAAATTCTTGACATAGTCTAATATTAGATATAAGTCCTTACAAAATTTAAGAATCTAACTCATAATAATTTTCTACTCTCCCTTTTAGTGCTAAAAGATAATACTTTTTCGGGTTTTTATTTGGTAAAACTACCCAAATAACATTTAAAAATCTGGATTTCATCAAAACTAAGTTCATTGTACAAAAAGATAATACTTTGGAATTTTTAATAATTTTTGGAATACTAAAAATATTTTCCCTTAATTTTTCTAATTTAAAACTAATTAAAAATAATAATTAAATATATTATTTTATTTTGGTTGAACCCGGGTGTGATCTTCACCCGAGCTGCCGAGATTAGGTTTCGTATAAAAGACACTAAAGTGGGTCTTCTTCCCCCACAATCATCTCTGTAATCTTTTTCTCAAACAGCATATGGTCTGTTTCACCTTCAAATTCTTCAATTGATCCCAATATTCACCTTAAAACTAACAGTAGTCATAGAGCTGGTTTGAAGCATCGCAGTGAGTCTAAAACTTTAACTATATATTAATTCACTCTATAAAATATATATTTATTCTAGCAAACCCTTCCACTATGCTCTGGTTTCTAATTCTCTTTCATAAAAGAAGATATATAATTACACCAAATCAGATTCTTATAGATTCATATATAATACAATACAATATATTTATAATACAATATATTTATCACACATAACAATTCACATAAGAAACCAGTTTCACCAATCAGTGTATTCTCAATTACACTGTATATCTACATATATATTCATACACATGCCAGTCACGTATATGATCTCCCTAACTCAAAATTAATGTTACAACAATTCTACTAAGATGATTTCACAGTGAAACATACACAAAATAAACTATCAGGTAACGAGTAATTTAATATTATAATTGTTTAACTCCATACAATTTATTATTCATAATGCTGCCAACCTATACTAATATCACATTAATATACTATAACCCATTAACGCGTGTCATAACGATTTATAAGAAATACAGGTAGGCAAAATCACAAATATATACAAGTGTATAAAGTAAGATTAACTTGCCTGATATGCTAATTCTTTATTTTTACACGAATTTTCGGTAACCGTCCCTTCTCCTAGCTACTGCAAAAAGACATAACGTCAGATCTCACTCATTTTGTATAATCTTATTATTTTCTGCTCTTTTATCATATATTGATGTACGGAAAAAGTTTCACCCAAGTACTACAGAAAGACAGATCTTACTCACTCTGTATAACCTATTTCTTTTTTTACTCTCTTTCTTAATAAAATATCACGAAATAAGATAGACTTATAAAGAGATAAGATATCTAATAGTTGAAGATAATAAGATATCTAATAGTTGAGATATTTAAGAGGTGAAATATTTAAGGAGACTATGTTTAAATATATAATTTTAAATAAACAATTCTAACTAATATAATATATATATATATATCACGGGTGCTACAGAAATCGGCTTAAAAATATTTTATTTTGAAAAATCGTGCTCTATAGGCTGAGGCTGACAACTGAATTGATGTGGGTCCCACATTTATATAGGGAAAGTATTGGGTACTCAAATTGTTATTTTTACCTGACAAGGGAAAATGAGAAGTTTTCAAGTTTTGATTCGACATGAAAATAGTCTATGCATGGGAAAAATTTGCACTACGTACAAAATGTGAAATTATTTTAATTCGCAACGTAAATAACCATTCTCTGACCACTTTTAGTGGGGGGAAAAAAAAAGGCCGTTACACCCACTAAGACCAGCCTTTTTCTTGAAAAAACAAAATAGAAAAAACGGTCATATTTTCGACCGTTGCTTTCATCCTATATATCTATACGCCTCTCCCCCGTCTCTCTCCTCAAAACACTGATAACATTCACCCACCACACTTTATTGCTGGAATCTGATACCCACAACAGAGAGAACCAAAACCCAATCGCCGGAATCTGACACACACAGCCGGAATTCCCAATTCACCCACCCAAAAAAATGGGTATCTCCAACTCTGCCACCACCGACTCCCACTACCACACACACAGGGTTTTCCTCTTCTGCAACTACATTCTCCTGGGCGCCGCCTCCAGCTGCATCTTCCTGACACTCTCCCTCCGCCTGGTCCCCTCCGTCTGCGGCTTCTTCCTCATCCTCCTCCACGCCCTCACCATCGCCGGCGCCGTCGCCGGCTGCGCCGCGGCCTCCTCGGGGGCCAATAAGTGGTACGCAGCTCACATGGTGGCCACCGTCCTCACCGCCATATTCCAAGGCTCTGTTTCGGTGCTCATCTTCACCCGATCCGCCGACTTCCTCGGGGACCTGAAGTCCTACGTGAGAGTGGAGGATGGGGTTGTGATCTTGAGATTGGCCGGTGGTTTGTGCATTCTCATCTTCTGCTTGGAGTGGGTGGTGCTCACGCTTGCATTTGCGTTGAAGTACTATGCGTATGTGGAAAATGACGGTATTAATAATGCCAAGGCAATGAGGAGTGCTAAGGTTCAAGAGGAGGAGATGAAAGATTGGCCATGGCCTTTCCAGGTCTAATTCAATATACACATATACATATATACATATATATATATGTGTGTGTGTGTGGATAAATGTGTTAGTTGAATTGGGGATTATGTAATTTTGATTGGGGTTTTGGAGGGTGAACTAGGGCGCTGCTAGTTCTTGAATTTGTTTATTTGGGGTGTGAGTTGGGTGATATATTGTGGGGGATGGATTAAAAATGTCTTTAATTTGTTATTCTTCATCATTATGTTATATTCATATTCATTTATGATTATTTTTTGGCTATATTTGTGATTAATTTTTTTTTTAGTGATTCATAAGATATATCATCCAAGCAAATATGGATTTTTTTATTTAAAAAACCTTTGATTTTACAAGGCAAAAAACCATTAGCATTTTGACCAAAAATTGTGGTAATTCTAATCAATTTCTAATTTTGGTAACAATTCAGTTCCAAGAATATCTTTATTAATTATTGAGAATTTGCAGTTCTATAATTAATAAAGAACATGCGAATTGTGTTCAAGCCCTAATTTTGTAGATTTATGAGTTCAATTGTAATTCCAAATTCTGCAATTTCCACTTTGAGTACTGCAAGGTTTTTTTTCGTCCATTTCTAATTGAAAAATAAAATATAAAAAATATGATAAAAATAAAAAAGTATTAGAAATCCACACCGAAACCTTCTTCACTTTTCGCTTTGAAAGGAGAAAATGTATCAACAATTAGCCTTTTTGAAAATCCATTTTTTCAACGTCTTTGGCTGCTTTCAACATCTTACCAGCAACTTCATTAAATTTTAACCAAATTAATAAAAGATACATTTTTTTAAACAATAATATTATCCAATTTTAAATTATGCCAAAATTCCATCATATTCAAATTAAATAATAATCTCTTTCAGTTGCCATTGTAAAATTAGGAGATTCTCAACTTAGGTTTGATAACATGCCATTGCTAGGTGTTATTTTAATAAGACCATAATTGGATCTGCATATATTTTGTTAAGGAGAATAATATTGTCCTTTTTTCTTTTTCTTTTTTTAATTCACAAAAATTAAAAACCAAGGACCGTGAAAAAGTCATGCCTACTGAAAGCATTGCCATGACTCCTGATATTTTTTAACTTTCACAGGAAAAAAAAAAAAACAAAAAAAACATTCCTCCTCAACCTCTTGGTCATTTATCCAATTATACCTTGCAAATTCTATATAGGTCAATAGGTGACAACACAACCTAATCCATATCATCAACCTCAAGAGGTCAATAGGTGAGGACACAATTCTATATAGGTCACAAGAGGTCAATAGGTGACTGACAACCTGAGCCATATCATCAACCAATTTATACATATTCTGTATAGATCAAGAGGCAAAGTTAGTAACCCACAGTGGAAGAACTTTGATTTTTGGATCAACCAAAAACATTAAAAATAGAGCCCAAAAACATTAAAAATTGAAGAGAACGAGGGGAAGAGTAATAAAAAAATGTCATTTCCTTTTAAATGAGAGTGCACGCCTAGTAACATATATATATATATATATAATTTTTTTCCTTTGATTGTTAATTAGGATCAAGGGAAAAAGAAAGGCACAATAGCAAGTAGATAAACCAAACCCCAAATAACCATTATCGTGGTGAATGGTTGCTGCCTGTCTCTACCAAAGCTTACCACCAAAGCTAGTACAATTAGATGTTATCAACATAGCAAAGTCTTTATTATACTATAAGCTTACACTCCACGTTCTCTTGATAACACACTAGCACAAAACACCAACTAAAGAACACACACTCTTTCTAGGTAGAGGAGGAAAAAGAAAGGGCCAAATGACGACAAACACAGCTAACTGAGAACAAACACAGCTAACCGAGAAAGGGCCAAATGACAACAAACACAGCTAACTGCAGTTGCCCTTTTTTTCAGGTGATCTGGATGTGACCAGCAAGTTCTAATCAAGTAGAACTTCCAACCCAATTCGCGGGGAGATAGTAGCTTACCAGCCTTCCATGCTGCCACTTAAACCGTAATTTTTCTATCAAAAATCCAGCTAAAAGGAACTGCAGATGTTTGCTTGACCCGCCCCTGAGCTCTCTCCTCCAACCTTCTGATTCTCGGAGCCAGACCACATACATAATCTTGTGCTTTGCACCCCTCCCCGGAAAGACCTGTCAACTTCTCTACATTCCACTTTCCCACCAAAAATTCCAAAATATCAGCATAGTCCTTGGCAGTGTATACTCCAAGCCGCTGAGCAACAGCAGAGAAGTGTTCAAACAGGTTGTTGTCCTGGCCGTCGAACATCAAGTGGGCTGGCATTGAAATTTTTTTCCTCATCATGTCCGCAAGAGCCAGAACTGTGCCATCTGGGTCAATCTCAAAGAGCTTCTCCACAATCTTGGTGTAGGCAGTCTCGTGGCGCTTCTCATCCGCTGCAATAGTACCACATATCTTTCCCAGTTTAAAGTCCCCATGTTCCTTGGCGAGCCTGCCTGTGTTCCCATGGGAAATGAAGGTTGCCCTCTCTTGAAATGAAGTGTAGATGAAACCAAGGTAGGGGCTGTTTTCTGTTCGAGGATCCTAAGATTACATGTATCAAGAAAAAAAAGTTCAATTATATCTAGAAAGAGAACAAATGGGAGAGAGAGTTTTCAAAGGAGTGCACGAAAGCTCCCAACAGCAGTGCAGTACACCAAAGACTCAACCCTAATAGATGAAAATGTTAATAACAGTAACAAAGTTCGGGCATGATCAACAACACACACAGTCACTAACGCGGGCGCGTGCACACAGAGGTGATCAAATTGTCAGCTAATTTGCCACAAAAAAAAATAAAAAATAAAAGTAGAAAAAGTGCCTCAATCCAGCATCAATTTTTTGCCTCTCTCCACATTGAACCAAATACAATTATTTAAGATTGAGCCCATCTTGGCAGTTGAAATCTTATCAAAAAATATTTAAAAAAGAACAGCAGAAAAAGGAGAGGAAAAAAACCTGCAGCACAGAGAATCAAAATCCCAGACAACAATTAGTCAAGTCTAAAATGTAGACATTTAGAAGTTCATTTTGAAGAAAAAAATTCAATGAAGCTCTAGTGAAAATTCCCAATTTAACCACGAGGTAGGAATTTTACGGCAATAAAATAGTCACCAACAAAAATTTTGCCCACTTGATTTTATCTAATGAATTTCAACTCACCAGGTCCAGATTTAAGCTTCACATATATGGAGTATTTTATAAAGTTCAAATCAGATTATTTCATAAAATAATTATTTATGAAACCAGGCAAATGATCAAATCTAGAAGTAGGCAATTCTTTCGCAGCCTGTGTCATGATTACTGTTATGCGTTTTCTAGGATTTCATAGAGGTTTTAATTTCGTCACAAACACGTGGCAATTAAAGATAGGACCTGGTCTGCTGGAGGGTAGGATTTCAAAATGAAATACTAATATGGGCATTAGATTTTGGAAGACTTACCTTAGACTCTCCTTTTTTTTTTTTTTTTAAACCAACAGTCTCCCTAAATAAGCATTCCCAAACTAGAAAGGAATTTAATTGCTGAACCTAAAAAGTGACGGGAAACAAGGATCTCACCATTCCAGACCCTATCAGGTACTGAATTGTCTTCTCGATTTGCTTCATGTCAACCCGCCCTGAGAGGTAAAGATACTTATTGAGAAGGTCACCATGCCTATTCTCTTCAGCAGTCCATGCTCTTGTCCATATAGCCCAGGAAGAAAGGCTTGCTCCTGTCTCGTCACGAACTCCATCCAGGGTGTTGAGCATAGTCTGGTAAGTTGGAAGTGCTTCCTCTGTGATCATATCACCAACCAAAACAACAAAATAGTCGTCAGGAAGTTCTTTTGCTCTTTGCCTCAACTCCTCGACTTGCTCATCAAATCCTTCTGAGGCTGGGTCTGGCAGAAAATCACTCGGTTGCCAACAGTCTTCAACTGGCTTTAGGTGCACTAAGATGTTCTTCTCAGCCCAGTCCTCCATTGACTTGAAGATCTCAATCTTTTGTGGTGGCATGGAATGAGTCACCTGAAGATGTACCTCACGTGGAGGCAAGAATGGCTTCTTTCCATTCTCAATCTCTCTACATATCAAGAAAAAAATAATAATAACAAAATAAACAAAGAAAAAATAGATCTTAGTGTACAGCAAATCTCAGATGGAATATGTAAGAATCCATAAACAATAAACTAATCATCCCAGATTTGCAAAATGTACATTAACGTCGTACATACACCAAAAATTTACTAATTGCATAGGAAGGAGCAGGATTTTAAATGGACAGCAGTAGAAGTCATTAGAAATTGAAAACGAAATTAGAAAAGAAAACAATGATAAAATGCTAAAAAGGTGGAGGAAATTATCTGTTCTTTTATGGGAACCACAGAAAGCAAGACAAATTTATGCAGAATGGAAAAATCTTCAATCATAACTAATTGTACAATAAACTTGTACAATAAAGGCCATTAGAATTATGTCAACCGGTATATTCAGGCATTAATTTTATGATATAAAAGGGCTAGCCTAGTGCATGAGGCTCCCGCCATTGCAGGTTTTAGGGAGGGTCATAAGTTTATGAGATAATGACATAAAAATGATTTCCCCACTCCTTGTTGCTGACCCACACATTCATTGCAAGAATATATAAGGTAAAACATATTGAAATTCTCCCAAAATTCAGGATCAACTTTATAATGATTTTAGGAGAAATCAGTTCAAAAGTGATATTTTAGACAATTGTACAGTATACTTGTCATGTAATTGCAAAGCGAAAGAAATAGTATGATGACAATGAAAGAACATTCATCCTGAATGGAACCAATTTAGTAGAGGACCAAGTATTCACTCCATGTTCAGCCAAGAGATTGTTAGGAAAAAACTCAAATGGCAAGCTAAAATTATACAAGGAAATTATTTACCATACGAGACTTTCACCATAGGGATTCATTGCAAAAGCATAAGGAAAAAGAAGATACGCATGCATGCGAGCATGCATGTGCATGTGACAGAGAAGGTTTTTTTATAGGTACAGAATTTAGACCAACCACCATTTATAGAAGGAACATAAAAGTCAAGGATCCAGCTACCAACTTTAGAGCATCAATATCAAGTAAACTTGAAAATCATAGATAGGTAAGAAAGAAAAGAAAGGCTACATTAAATATCAATATCTCATCACGGTGACCATCGCAGGATTTTATAAAAAGTACATCTCAAGACCTGCATGTATAGAAAGATAAAAAATAAAAACTGACAGGAAAAGGACAGACCCCAATTACTTAAAATGAAATGAACAACCAAAGGGATCAATAAATTCTTATGCTAAGCCAACTTAAGACAATCCTAAATGGAACTGTTATTCATTAAATTACTCTTCAAATCAAAGAGAAATAGAGAGAAATGGAGAGAAATAAATCAAAATTCACCAAATTTGTATTTAAATTATTTTAGATAAAAATTGTGTCTCAGTCACTTCTATTAGATGAAATAAAAATTTGAAAATCTCAGATAAACAAGAGCTCAGTTCCTACGTAATTAATAGAAGTGATATACATATTAATTAGCTAATAAAATATTACTTTACGGAAAGTGATTATTATTATTATTTTCTTAACAACATCCCAAATATATGACAACTTCAGAAACCACCATTTCTTTGGCCAGAAAAAGGAACAAGAAGAAGAAAAAAGAGAACACTAATATAAAGTACTTAAGTTATACCAACTAGAAGAAAAAGAAAACCAGTCAACCAACAGATAAAAGTTAATGAAGAGGAAAACACTACAAAACCATACCTAATTTCCAACCAAGAAGCCAAATAATCAAATGATAAAAGCAATGATTCTAAACAATAGTAACTATAATGACAGCTATACTAGAAGAATATGTAAAACACCCTCATATTAGTAACGCCCTCATACATTGTAAACCCCTTCGCATAAACTAAAGATACGGTAACAAGTTGACGCAGATCCTAGTTCCAAATGAAATAGACAAACATAAAATTAGACATGCATTACTCAAACACATTAAGAGAACACAAAATTAACACAATTCAAAATAAGAACCTACACTTAGATATAAGCAAGAGGCCAAAAGATTGCACAAACAGTACCAATGGCAATAAAGTGTATACACATTTCTAATCCAAACTTAAACCTCAGAAAATTTCACATGCATCCATTAAAACCCACATCACTAGTTCCCAGCAACATACAATGATCAAAAAGTCCAATTGATTCCCCAAAGAAAACACAAATCAGAAGAAAATTCAAAATGAATTCCAATCTCAACGAGATTCAAAGATAACAAAATAAAATAAGAAAAAAAATACAGACCCAATTCATAAAAACAGAATATTGGAATACATAAAAACTTATAGAACCACTGAGAAGCAGATGAGAGATTTAGCTGATTTAGCATCAATGACCAACCACCCAAATCAGTCAAGAACAGAAAATCCAAATTTGAATAAAAAGGCATAGACCCAATTCATAAAAACAGAATACAGAAAAAGCTTATAGGCCACTGAGAAACAGACAATGAGATTTAGCTGATTTAGCATCAATAAGCAACAACCCAAATCAATAAGAGAACAGAAAATCCAAATTTGAAGAAAAAATTAAAGACCCAATTCAGAAAAACAGCATTTAGATACATAAAAGCTTATAGGACCACTGAGAAGCAGAGGAGAGATATAGCTGATTTATCATAAATGAAAAACAACCCAAATCAGTAAGAGAACATAAAAGCCAAATTTGATAATACCCATTTCGATATATGCTAAAAAATGAAGAAAGAGCTCACCTAGAAGTGGAGTGAATAGTTTGAGCCATGAAAACTTTCTGAGATCTGCGATTGCTTGATTGACGATGAGCAAAAGATGACAACTTCTGAGATTGGAAGGTCATATGGTTCAGTTTCAGAGCCATATTTTTTTTATTTATTCTGAACTGTTTCTCTCGATTTATTTTCGCTGTATAACGAGCCCACGAAGCAGACAGGAGAGGGGAGAGAGGGAGGCAGCCTGAGAAATGAGCGAGAGAGACGGAAAGCCAATTAAACAACATAGCTTTTGAAAATGCCTGATATTTTTCATGATATTACGTGTTTACCACTTCATATATTTTTATTTGTAATTGTTTTTTTATGACGATTATTAATTATGGATTTGATGGCTGTACCACCATGTAATTTGACATGTAACACACACACAAAAAAAAAAAAAAAAAAAAAAAAAAAAAAAAAAAAAACATTAAACTTGTATTTGAAAAAACCATTAAAAAAATAAATTAATTAATTAAACAACAAGAAACCTAATTGGGTATTTTAGTTGGATTTGGTAATCAATACACTAAACTTAATAGCAAGAAAACCTAATGGGCCCACATTAGAAAATTCATAAGTTATTTATTTATTTATATATTATTATTATTTTATTATTATTGTTATTTGATAAGAGAAATGTCCCTCCTTTTAAGACGGAAGTCCAAATGTCACACATCTCAATTGTTATTATTTATTCATTTATTTATTGTTATGGTTTTTCTTTTCTCATAACTAATTAGTACATGTTTTAACCTCTATTTATTAAAAACTCTCTTCAAATAAATTGTATATCAATTTATCAACCTGTTGTTTGTTTTCTTAAAATTAAGACCACATTATAACCGCAAATGTCATTTTAATTTACTGTCATATGAATGTAAACATTCTTGGAGAATGAAAGGTGGCGCCTCACTTTTTGTTTGGTTGAATTAAAAAATAAAAAAACAGAAAGAATGATGACTTGATGAGGTGACACGAATAAGAGATTTTATTATTATTTTTATACCAATAAATATTCATTCCAATGATATTATATATTTATCGAGCAATTTTTCTCTTTTTCTCCTCCTGTCTTTTGTCCAATTTTGAGGTGATAGAAAAAACATGAGCCAAGAGGGATGCTTCATCTCTCTCCTCCTTGGTTCTTCTCTCTTCTCCTTTCCGTTCATCCAATGACGTTGAAACTACAAGTTTATAATCACATTTTTGCTGCTAATAATATTTTAATTTTTAAAATAAATACTAAATATAAAATTTCAATTGGTTATATTAGATTACATGAAATTGGAGATTTAAAATTAAAATTAATGAAATTAGAGAAAAATAAGTTAAAAAGTTGAACTTAATTTTTTTTTTAATCCCATTTACTTTAATATTAAGGCTCTAATTTTATACAAGGAAACACTTAATGATTATTTATGGTGAAATGTACATGAAAATCGGCCCTTAATTGAGTTCAACCTTGTGCATGCACATTACTAGACAGGCCATTTATTTTGTAGTCCTTTTTGCACGTGATAATGTGGAAATTTGTGATTTCTAAGAAGTTAGGTCACAACTCACAAGCTAGGATGTGGAAGCATCACCTCAACAACTAATAAAATCCCAAGATAAGGGTGGGTTCACTCAACTTAAAAAGTGGGCATTCATGGGTGAGCCGTAAATATCGTGTCATTGATACGTATCATTTTAATTGGTGAAACATATTGGTGGCTTTTTTTTTATTTTTTATTTTATGAATGAAACATGTTGATTACGTGGAGATATCAATGATATGGTATGTCTGACTTACTCAATAAATCTTTTCGTGAATCTCGACCCATGTGAATATGCCATCCAAATATTCACGTAGGCCAACTAAACATATATATACATATTCACATAGCCTATGTGAATATTTATATATATATACATATTCACATAGCCTATGTGAATATTTATATATTCACATAGGCTATGTGAATATGTATATATATGTTTAGTTGGCCTACATGAATATTTGGATGGCATATTCACATGGGTCGAGATTCACGAAAAGATATATTGAGTAAGTCAGACATACCACATCATTATATATATATATATATATATATATATATATATATTCAAAAGTGCAACGCATATTTGTAATATTATCTCCCTAGTTTGATTTGAATATTTAATCTCTCTTTTAGAAATAAGAGAGGACATACAGTCTGACTGAACGTGATTTTATCATTTGATTAATGTTCTAAATAATGAAATGAAAGAAAAAATTGAGTCATGAAAAATGCTCTCCAAACAACCAACCAAATATATAAGCATACATTAATTGTGAATTTGGTGACACCAATCCATCATTTAAAGATAAAACAATCTAAATCTGTTGATCCTTTTATCTTCAACATATAATCAGTAAAATTGATGTTTTAAGTAAAAGGTTATTATTAAGTGAGACATTTTAAAATTTGTGATGACTATGTTCACCCACATGAGGTGAGGTATGTATGTAACATGTTTTGAAAACAAGTTTATCGTCACTTTTCAACACAAATGACTTGCATATAACATTTTCACTCTTATTATACGTATAAGACTTTACAAAGACTTAAAATTTATTTAAATATATATATTTAGAGAAATAGAAATTCTTCCGAACTCCAATCATTTAAACTTATAACTGCAAGATTATTTTTGCTGCTTTGTGAGAGTCAAATTCAATATATTCCATTTTATGACTCGCCTCACCTTAGTCACCGGGCAACCCATGCAAATTTTATAATATAAATTTTGAGAGACTAGCTTTTCTATTTTATAATTCTTAATATTGCTTTTATTAGACTTTTAGTTGAGACCATAAAGATTTAATTTTTTTTTTTTTCTGATTTTTACTAATTAATATTGTTTTTAAATCCTAATATTGTAATATCAAACAAAAAAAGGGTCAATTTCACACCCGTGTCAAAACATTGGTTTTGTTTTGTCGTCATCGAAATGTTAGAGAGAGAGAGAGACAAAATTACCGTGTAGGTTGTGCATCTCATTTTATTGTTGGGCTGGGGCCCACTAACATACCACCTGGATCTCTTTGCTCCTGCACATTTAACCATGGGACTTGGCAAACGTGTAGCTCACATTTCTTGAGTTGGTCTGGGCCCCACAAGTAAGCACCACGCATACCACCTGGACCCATTTCTTCATGCATAAGCTCCACCTGGTGGATCTCTTCTTTCTTTTCTGCATCTTGAAGTGTGATGGCCGGTTTGGCACGTGGGTTGCTTCAAGTGTTTTTTTTTTTTTTTTTTTTTTTTGACTAAAATAGAGATAGTGTTTTTGTTATATGAATATTTAAAAAAAAAATTAAAAATACGTTTGGAAATAATATTTGTTGTAGAAATGTCGGATCTGCGTTGCGCTATTGTAATGGTTTTGGGATATGAATAGTTGTCAAAATAAGAAAAAATAACTTTTTGGTATTTTGGTTTTGGGCCACTGTTCACAAAGTGTTTTAGAATTGTATAAAATAAAATAAGGCTACGCCAAACCTGTTTTTGTTGCCAAAATCGACACTGTTGCAATCCAAAAACAAAAATAATAGAAACAAACACATGTCAAATGGGGCCGAATGTTCTAGGGTCCTCTATGTTATCATCTTCAGCTTCATATATACGCATGGGTATTAATGGTGGCCAAATTAGTATAACGCATCTAACACTCTTAGAAGATGTGTCTATATTCGAGTTCTCATTTTTTAAATTTACTACTTAGTAATATATATATATCTCCATGCTCTTTTAATAAAGTAAAATTTGTTTTCACTCAAAATCATTTATAAAAGGACCTCCCTTTGTCTTCCGTCCATTCGTCGCTAGCTCGCTTCGTTTAACAAAATTTTATTTTTATTTTTTATAAAAAAAAAAAAAATTAATAAAAAGAATGCTAGTTTATGAAAATGATAAAGGAACAAAATATTAGGGTTTTGGTGTTTTAATTTATGAAAGGGAATTAAAGTGATAGGGGCATTTAAATAATTAAACAATATACATGGTTACAAATAACTGACTATGAGGAATCACTAGAACTAAGTAATTGGTGGGAAGGGTTGCTTAATAAGTTAATAACAAATATAAGAAACAGAAGAGCACATTTTGATGTTCATTTAAGATGGACCAAAAACAAAGTTAATATTCTAACTGTATCTATGTCTTCTTGTGCTATCACATTATCAAAGGACAAATAGGTTATTAGGAAAAGAAAGTCTTTCTCTAATTTTATTTAGTTGAGTATTACATAGTCTGATGAGCATTGTATCTTTCAAAAATTAGGTTGAAAAGCCACATTAATGTGTTTTGTTTGGTAGGAAACAAAAATTTTGGATGGAAAAGAGAGAAGAATGGATCGATGAGATCGGAATAGATTGTGTATTTTCTTCTTTTTATTAAGTTAGATAGAAAAGAAGAGAATAAATTCAAAATTTAGTATGTCCGAAATAAGGAAAAAGAAAATTTTAATTTTTTTAAAAAATTATATCAAATAATATATATAATATTATAATTTATAAAAGATAGTATTGTAATTTAAAATTTATATAATTTGAAATAGTATTTAATTGTAATAATCCATTTGTCTTTCTATTCGCCTTTCTTTCATTATATTATCTTTACCAAAAAGTTTATTTTTTCATTCCTATTTTCTCTCAACACCCTTCCTTCCTTCCTTAGAAAGCATAAATGAAGTTCTCTTGCAATAAACTTATAATTGTATTAAGTCACATGTTTTTCCTCTCATCTCTCCTCCGACTCATTAAATAAGGAAAAAGTCTGTAACTGATAACCCCCCCTTTTTTTTCTTTCTACGTGTGTAATGACTATAATTGTCTATGTACCCCTGTCAAATTAAACCAAATTTCCTATTATGAAAAGTGATGTGAAAATAATATAGAATCATACTCCATATATAGGACTGCTAGCGCGTGTGTGGATATATATATATATATATATCATTTTTTACTTTTGAAATGTCATCACAACACAATAATACTAGGAATGCAAAAATCCCCTCGGAACTTCACTCTTCCCCACATTCGTTTAACTTTGTACAAGGATGGTTCCATGACACACAAAAGCTCCTCAGATGTCTTCAAAAGATCATACAACACCATATATTACTTGATTACCACAACTCAGCTTTACATGAGGAGATACATGTCATATAAAAATGTGGCAAAGACGGATTAGGGACGTTAGGTAGAAAAGAAAACCGAAGAGTGCAGCTGAACCACGAAGCTACTGCTTAGTGTTCATACAACCCTGCTGCAGTTGGACGGCTGTGGCAGGCGTCTGGGGAGAGGTTTCGATGGGATTGATAGTCTTGCCAGCAGGAGGCAGGCACCTTTTTGAGAAAAATGTGGCTATACTCTTTGTTCTCCCACCACCCTTCCCTGCAAATTCAAGAAGCCGTTCGTTTTAAATCAAATGGTGAGGCCCACCAGTTTAACAGTTCAAATCAAAGAGTACATACCTGGTGAATTTGATAAACCAAGCTTGTCCAGAATATCTTTCTTGACCTGCATCAAAAAAAAGAAAAGGCAAGCCATTCAAAAAGGTAAACCAACACTTGTTTCAGCTAAAAACAATTTATATATACATATACTCCAACTACAACAGGGTGGAACAGAATGGAATTTTTTTTTTTTGGGGTGGGGAGGCACAACCTGTGTTAGGTTTAACTGGTTTTGAAGATATGAATTGTTTTTAGCTGGAAAAAGTGTTGGTTTACCTTTTTAAAACCTGTGTTAGTTTAAGACTAAAGCATAATGTGAGTTTGCCTTGTTTAGATTGATCCAAGGAAATGAGTTGTTTACCTTTTTGGAAGGCTTATTTGATATATATATATACAAACACACACACTTATCAAATAAGTATAATTAAAAGAAAAACAACGGAGAGCAGAGGTGAGGGTCTTAATTTAGTTCACTCTATATTCTGGGTAATTTTGTTCACTCTGGCATGTTTAGTCTTATTTGAAAGTTCCACACAGAAAAAAATATTTCATCCGATGTAGTGATAGAGAATGAAAGTGTCTCATTTGTGACTTTTAACAGCTTTAAAGGTCTTTTACTCGAAGAAGAAGGCAATGTATTCAAAGATTTATGCCACTTGCCTATCTGCATTTGTTCTACTATGCTTTCTTTAACCCTTTTCAGTATCCTTTCAGAACAGAGACAAATTAAAGCTCAATTTCTTTACCAACAAGCCTGTGGCCTAGCGGTACAAGGCTCCTACTTTCCAAAGGCAATGGAGGCAGTGTGTGTGTCTCCTTCCAACTAGGAAAAAAAAAAAAAAAGGCTCAATTTCTTTAACATAAAAATTATAAATAGTGCAACCATGTTAAAAACTAAGTAGGAACGCCCGCTAATATCCATCCAAAGGTTCTATTCACCAAATTTTTTCCATTTTTTTTTTCCCAACTTTAAGAACTTTCTAAACATTTACACCATATTATTGAAAATTTGTGAGATCGTTTAAAAGAAAGTCTTTAGAATCTCAGTCAAATATCTTCACCCATTGCAAGTTTGAACTAAAGTTTAAACAATTTGAATATGTTCTGTATTCAACTACCTAGTTTATGCATGACACACTCAAAATCTTCAAAAGTATTGAAATACTTTCTATATAATTTAATATTAAAATTTTTAGAAATGTGGACATAGATTTTTCATCCAAAATATAATAGCAATAAATCCAATAAGGTAACACACTGACAAGTACCCTTTCAGTGAGACAAACATGTACTGAAACAGAATTCATAACTATGAGCCACAAGCATATAGAAGTTTTGACCTCTCACCATGAGAAGGATGAATTGAAATGAGTTTCGCTAACCTGCCAACGGTTATCCACAAAATCTGATATCTCACGCACTTTATTCCTTAACTGAGACTTTGGGATGGTGGGGAATTTATGTTGCAAGGACTCCACCACCTTGTTAATGCCCTGTGAGCATGATTGAATGGCAGATACCTGAAAGATAACATCAAGTTTATGTTAGCAACAGAGTGAAGCGCACCATCATTACATTATCAACGGTGAATATCACACATTTTCTGAGTATATTGCTGAATTTAAAGGTTTAGAGATAATAATACAACTAACTTCAAAGTTTTTTATGCATTATATATCCCTTCCATCAGGGAAACTTACTGAACAGATAAATAAAATGCAGAACTTACAATTTGAGGCAAATCTGACACCATTATAGCTGTAGCGGTTGCCACCGGTGTGGTACTGACCTTGCAACTTGATGGGCAGGCCTCTTGATCCTCTTCAAGCACATTACTACCAGGCGATATCTCTATAAATGAGCCACCAGGGAAAGCACGCATGCCCAGAGCTTGCAAACACGTCTGCTCAAGTTTCAGACTACCAGTGAGATCTTCAGCCGTTGAAGATGGGGCCTTTTCGTGCATTAGATTCAATATTATCAAGGGCTGGTTCTTCCGAAGAGCATGCTCAGTCAATTTGCGTAAATGTTTCTGCTGTCGAAGCAACATGCAAAACTCCTCGCTCTCCAACTCCTGCTTACAACTCTGTGAACTTCTGGCCTCCTCAACTAAGCGATCAGATTCCATTCTATCAACTTGTACTCCCTGCACGCAGAAAGCCAGACAAATGTCATAATTAAGCAGCTTGGTGCTTTTTGGCTCTTTACTCCTGTGATATACGATATACAGCGTTCACGATATTTGTCTTTTTAAAAAATAAAAAAAAAAGGAAAAAGAAAAATACACAATTTCTGGTGTTTCTCACCCCAACAGGTTTGCACTAACAAGAGAATGTATAACAATGCAAACAAAAACAACCATGCATAAAATGCAGTATCAGTTACTGCATGTGCCCATAAAACATTTGGCTCTCAATTCTGTGTGTATTAGAGTAGATTTTGAGGAAGGTGTCTCAGTGCATATGAAGGCAATTGTGGAACACTATAGAATTGGATTATGTTTTTTGCAATGTTGATCATCATCTAAAACTTGTTTTTGTTTTTACTTATTTCCCTTTAAGGAAGGTAAGCAAGCATATTATAAGAACTTATACAAAATACAAGGGGCATGAGCATACACCAGGATATAAAAGCCCAGCAAAAGATGGTAACCCCTCACAGAACCAACTCTCATCTAATATTGATTTAAAATCTCAGTAAAGAACCGGGCACGTTGTGCAGGATTAACCATCCTGGCAACTACATATCTCAACATAGTCTTTGAACAGGCTTAGTTGCCAGTTTAAGTCCCCAGTTTGAAATAATTTCAAAATAAAATTGATGGGACCGAGATGAAGCTTCACAACATCAGAAGTACCTCATTTTCTGAGAGATACCCATCAGGTACGAAGAAGCCATCTTCACTTTCATCTTCATCATCAGCTTTGGAACATCCTTCCTCTAAACTTTCCTTATCATCATCCATTTCACAATCTGATAGGTTTTCACCAGGTTCCTCCTGAGCAATGAAAATTTTAGGTACATATATCATTTAAAAAATTATTACATCAGAACAAACTCATGCATACCCAGGGAACATAAGAAAAAAAAAAAAGAAAAAAGAAAAAGGAAAAAATAAACTCATGCATACCTCTTCCCATTCTTCATCACTATCAATATCATAATCCAACTCTGCATCCTTCTCGAAAGGATGCCGTGGTCCAACAACTTGACTAAAGAGACAACAAAAACCCATACAACCAATACCATCAATATTCCAAACAAACCCATACGGTCAAGGAATCATTACATATTACAAAAGTACCCGTAGATTAGAAAGACTAACTTGCTACTAATGGAACCAATAACCTATAGGTGGAGTAGTAGGGGTTCGCCTGAGACACCTCAAGTGATAGGCTGAGGACTCAAAACATGGGAATTAGATAACAGGACGGGATAATGGTTCCTACTATCATTTTGGCAAAAAATAAAACAAAACAAAAACTACTTGACAGAGAAGCGAAGAGTATATTGCAGATTACCTAACCAAAAGAAAAAAAGTACTAGTATGTTGCAGGGAAAAGAAAAAGAACATCATAAAGAATATGTGCAAATAGTTAATAATTACGAGATGTCAAATGAAGTGTAAAACGCTAAACATTGAGATGTTTATTAAAACTCTATGCACTGAAGTGCATAAGTGTACTCATGCCCATTAATCATCTCATAAGTGAAAAAAATAAATAAATAAAAAGAACTTCAGTTAATAACTCCTAACAATTCACAATACATTGGTTAGAAGTCTTAAAACAACAATGTCAGGTAAAATTCATCTGTAATAGTGAATAAAAATGCAAGAAATGACACAGTAAAAATCAAGTAGTCACACTGATTCCTGATCTAGACAATATCTTTGGGTAGGGTCATCTAGCTGTGGGTTTATACCATTGCCAATGCCTCATGCTAGATATAATGCTCATGCAGCCAAACAACTCACCATCAAGCATTTTCGTGCCGATATAATCTGTCTTTACCTATTGCCACAAGATTATCACCATTTCACTGCAGGTTCATTGAAAAAGCAGGCAGTTTTGCCAGGAAAATGACTTTTCAGGCAGTACTTTGACTTCATGATAAATGGCAACATATGGTTCACCCAATGTACAGTGAAGTTGCATTTACCAGACAATTTATTAATTGATCACACTATCAATTATGGAACAAAGCACGATGATATCATATCCGAGACGCCCCGGAGAATATTGATCAAACAATGGGGGTTTGTTCAAGGGCTCTCTCCTTAGACACCATCCTCATCAAAGAAATCCCAGTTATGGTGCATTTTGAAATATATTCCCTAACAGTGTACCAGAGTTTAAAATCTAGAAACAGTAGCTTACCTTTTCTTTGGCCAAATGCCATAAAATGCAGGTCTATTGTTCTTGTCAAACTGCAATAATTGCTTACTCCTATTGTGTTTCTGGCCACTAGGAAGGGAACAATCAGCATTTCTATGACAGGACCTGCCATCAATGCTTGTTTCATCCCATCCATCAACAAGCTTCTCGATGCTTAAATCATCATCACGGGTGGCTCCTGAACCAGAAGTAAGCTTAAGTTCCTTGACTAATTCAGTCCTAGGCTTTCGACGTATGCCCCAATGCTGTTTTCTGTTTGAATGAACCGAATGACCCAGGCGACGCCAAGTAACCAAGTGTGACCTTAAAAATGGAACAAAAAGACTTATCAACTTAATTATCATATGATTTTGCTTAACCCCACCCGCCCACCCACCACCCCCACACGCGCGCGCGTGCGCACACACAAAGAAGCTCATTGCTAATATCTGCAAACCAAGAGTGACAGATTCAACAATAATGAAAGTAGTAAAGAACCTACTTGTGGATATCCTCTGTATTAATCTCATTTTTTAGTGCAAGCGCATAATCCATTGACATCGTAATCGATTCAGGCATATTTTCACTCCTGTTAGGGGATGGATTGGAAGTTGTGGCTTTGGATGAGGACTGACCATTTTGGCTAGTTGAATTATTCTTGCTTCTTTTAAGAAAGCGCTCCATGATGGACGCTTGCTTCTGCAAAGCAAGTTGCTTTTTTAATTCAGCTTCTTCCTTCTCCCGGCGTCGTAAATCTTTCTCCACTTCCTCTTGCTGCCTTCGTAGATGTTTCCTCATTTCAGATTCTTCTTTCTCACGGCGCTTTTCCTCTTTCTCTGCCTCGTCTTGTAACCGCTTTAGCTCCTTTTCCTGTGGTTAAGAAAGAAGATCAGAAAAGCATGAGTTAGAAGAAGAAAAAGTCCATGAAACATTACTTGAGAAACCATTACCACATTCTAATTCAAAGTGACAACCTACAGCATTTGAGGAACAGACTAAACTTAGGTTTTTAAAATTTACTAAAAATTTAAAGATTCATGAGATGGAAGATCTTTATATTCACTTCCTTTCCAGGCTAATCAAATTCTTGCTCTATATGTCTAGTTTAAAATTGCAAAAGAGATTGTTGAAAAAATAAATGAAAACAGTATCCTTAAGGGACAAAAACACACACTCCAAACAGCATATATCACGTCATATGACAAATTTACCTAAAGGATATCTGTAGTCTTGACTAAACAACACAAGTAGGGTTGAAAAACTAGCATACTTACACTTTGCCACTTCTCCTTCTGTTGTTCGAGATCCATTCTTTTTTTCCCCTTCTCAACTTCTCGTTTATTTTTCTCCAATTGCTTAATTAGCAGCTTCTCTTCTTGTTTCACTTCCTTTTCAGCCCTTTAACAATGAGAAAATTAAAAAGAAAGAAAGAAGTTAAAGCAGCAAAACATACCCAACAGGGCTACTGAAGACACATACATGTCAGCACCATTTTTCTGTTCCATGCTTTCAGCTAATAATCGGATATCTGCCTCACTTAACACTTTAGCAAGCTTTTCTGATGCTTTAGTCAGCGCTAAACTGTAGTTATGAGAGCTCTGTGACTTCTCTAACGCAGTTATCATTGCTGAAAGAAACAACAACTATCAGCAACCTAGTGTGTAAGCAAACATCACCTACTAAAATTCTATGCTACTTGATGTTCCTGGAAAGTGCAGATCAGATTTCTCAGCAAATAAGCACCTACTCCCACATAGGCAGTAATTGCAGTCGCCTACATGGGCTTAAGGTTGCCTGTCATTTTGTCAATCCATGCACAGCATAACTAGTTACAAACTTTTTCCATAAAAAGTATACTTAGTTACATCTGCTGCCCCTATAACACAAAAGCTTTTTGTTTCATAAAGGGTCCATTTGTGGGAGATTTTCAAATATTTAAGTAATATTAATGTTCAAAGTCCTGGAGAGTCTAATTATCAAGTTGAAAATCATGGAGGGTCTAATTGATTACTACAATTAGAGATTTTCAAACGTTTAGGCATTAAGAACTTAATAAGATACTATTTTAAAACTCTTGGAGTATAATTGATAAATTGTGCTGAACAACAATGCAGTATCACTCTTGGAGTATTATATATTATGCTGAACAATTATGCAGTATTATATATATTGGTGGCTATGTTAGGTGGACTCAGGTATGTATATTGGGTGCGGGTATCTGCCTGAGTTTCAGATTTATTGAATCTTCAATCCTAAGGACACGAGGACACAGATAGACACTCATATTATCTACAATTTTCCCTTTTATTAGAGTAGAATAATGTTTCCACTTGTTTTGAAAGACTAATTTTTTTTGACCAGTCTCGTCTTGAAAGAATGATGTAACAAAAGAACATATAAGGGAGTTTTATGTACAATTATGTAATAATCTGAGGATATACTTCCTAGGTACATGTCTAAGCATAAGTATCGGACACACCCCATACCCGTGCCCTAGTTACAAGAGTCCGGTACTGGTATTTCATGTATTTTGCAAGAGTCCGTGTAAAATAGATTGGTGATTAAAAATTCATGGGCAAATGTTTTAGCTTACAAATATTTGTTGCACAAGCTTTAACTTTGAAGCTTCGAAGATCGGTCACAAGTTTAAAGTTTGGTTCTCTTTATGGTCCTTTACAATTTCAAACAAGTAATAAGCATTTAAAAAAAGTCTAGTAAATGAAATTGCTCGACAGAATTTCATATAATTTTATTTATTTATTTTTTATGTTTTGACCTCTGTATATTTTGAAACTAAAGAATTCCACGTACTTTATGTTTTAACCGCTCCTTTTTGGAAATTTTTAATTATCCCCTTTTAATTAGTCACAAATATCTGCTGCGTGTTCAGTGTGTGTATGGCATGTCTACCGCATGCCTGCGACATGCCCAAAAAATATATATATTTTGACATGTTTTTGTGTGTTTGACACGGACAATTCAACCTTTTAGGCGTGCCCATGCTTCCTAGAAGCTAAACCATCTCCAAGAAACTGCATAGAAGATTAGACAGCCAATTGGATTTATACCATTTGCCATGTTCATCTAGTGAGTAACAACATGGATTTTATAAGAAACAAGCATGGAACTGAAGGTGCATCAGCATAATTTACGCACTCTAGAGTAATCTCCACTATTAAGGACATATTTCAAGTTCCTCCTTACAGCAGCAGAATCTTATTTGGTTATTCCTGGTGGTTGATGACTTGATTCCGTGGCATGGTTGTTAAAAATAACATCATAATAACGATAAATATAAGCAAAATAAACAATTATGTTATGCTTTCATTGCTAATTTGTTGAAGAACTTGCACTACAATAAATTGAACAGTATTTTAGGAAATATATTATATATGCTCACCAGAAACAGCAGTAAGCCTCTCATGGATCTTCTTCCTACAAGTTCGTCGAATTTTCACAGCACTTTTCATAATTTTCGGCATCAATTTTAGGTCTCTTGTCTACATAATAAAAAAAAAATAAGAGCTGAAATTAATCACAATAAAGTCTACCAATAAGCAAAGTTGAGTTTAAGAACAACAAATATTAAATACACCGAACACATAAAGTAATTATTTAATGGAATAAACATAGACACATTAGTAAGCTAAAAAAACTAATTATGGTATATTAAGAAAAAACAATCAAATACATCCAATAAACACAGATAACATGAAAATACACTGATAAGAGTGAGAAAGAAAGAAAGAAAGCTTTGAAGTTTTCCTTTTTGATTCATTTCGATTTAAAACACCCGTGCATAAGTTCAATGTGCAGCTGTGCGTAATTCCAAGGAAAGAGGAATCTCGGGATTAGAAGGTTTGAAGATTGAAATAGGCTGCAATGATGAAACATCTACGAATTGTCAATAAAATAGTGTCATTCATTAGTACATACAATCATACATTGTCAAGGAAAGGAGTTTCTAGAGCTCACAAGTTCTGATGATTGCTCCAGGACCTGGAGCAAAAGTTTAGAACTAAAGGACTTAATTAAGTGTGAATGGAAAATCATATAGAAAAAAATAGTGGTTAAATAACCAACACCCAACTAGGAAAAAATAACCAACACCCAGCTAGCCCGCTGTTCTATACATTTAGTGGCAGAGCCATTTATAAGTGTGCAAGTTCAGCTAAGGCCAAGGTGTACATCATCCAAGACAACAAACTGAACTGGCCAAGCGGCCAGTTAGTGAAAATTGGAGAATTCAAGAAACTCAAAGACTTATTCCTGCTGATTGTCTCCTGAATCAATGCAAATAGATAGAATAGTGTGGCTCCTCATTAGAAGTGAGGACAACTATAAAGCTTCTATATGGAATGTAATCAGAGGTCATGATACTAATAATTAATTGGCCTTTGATCACGTAGTTTATAAACCATATCCAGATCCTCTTTTCTACCATCATTGATTTGTTAGGACAGACTAGCTACAGAGGTTAAACCTAGAAAATAGGCTTGCAGCTTCCTCAAGCCTGCGCTCTCTGTGATCAGCAAGCTGAGAGAATTAATCATCCCTTTTTCTAGTGTGCCTTCATTACAGCCATTTCAAGAAGGTTCTACAGCATTGACTAGTGCTAGGAAATTGGATGAGAAAACCACTTAAAGGCCAAAGGTTTCATGCTGGTGCGAGAAAACTAGCATTAGCAGCAAGTACTGTTATTAAAATTGCGATCCGGATGTTACGATCCAAAAGTACTAAATCGATCCTGATACTCAAAATGACCCACAAGGGTTGAATCCTTATAGAATTCCTATAGGATTGCAAGAACCATGGGATCCCAATTTGACTCCCTATTACGATGATCCTACTATAAAGCCATTGAATGTTAATCTATTATTCCTATTTTGATAAGTTAGGACCCGAGATCAAAATTTATTATGAAACAAAGGACAAGACCAACATAAATGATCTAAAAATGATAATTATTTTAAAAATTATTCTTATTTGACTCTATATTGAATCTTATAACTTCTAAGTCTGTTTTAAACTAGACAACTATTTAAACAACCTTAGGCAACTTGATTCGTTATTTTTTTACTCATACAAGTTTAACTGTTTCCTTTTTTTTTTTTTTGGCTCATTTTTTCTTTTAGTTGGTTATTTTGCTATGATATGTTACAAAGAAGGTGTTCCAAATTTTTGCTTTAAAAACTTCTCTTCAATCCATTGAATTCAGTTTCCATCTCTATCTCTCTAAAGCTAAATAAGTTTACTTTAAACAAATCAATCTTTTATCTACAAATTCTTTAGTGCTTATTTTTGCCTTTTCTCTCTCAATGTTATAGGCTCTCTTATAGTCCTTGGACGAGTAGCTTGAGTATTTTAAAATAGAATTATTTTTTCCTGAATATTTTCAAATAGGCTTTTCTTTCTTATGTAAGTTAAATATTTCAAATAATATATAATCATAAAAATGATTGATTCATGATTTTTTAATTTTCTATTTAAATCTAATGTAGTGACATGATATCGTATTTAGTTCTATATAAATAAATTATACCAATAATTGTTTATCTGCATGCTAGAATCCTGATTTTAATAACCTTGGCAACAACTACCTATTTCATTCAGTCAGATTCTCAGAAATGTGAACTGAAGGTCCACTGCTATGGACCAAAGCTGCTAACCGGAGAGACGTGAAGAATTTTTCTGAAAACTGGAAAGTTAGCATGAACTTTTTGGTCTGAAAGATACAACAATCTGTCAATCTTTAATAGTATTAGTAATTGGAATTAAGAATATTCTGAATAGACCAAATAAAAGGTAGAAAAAGAGATACCCAATAAACATGGTAAATTGAGAACCAATAAAGATCAAATAAACCCAATTCAATAACAAACTTAACAAACAACAAAAAGATTAACAATGACCAAAAACAGCAGTAATTTGAAGAAAAAAAATAACTAAAACATCCATTAATTTAAACTTCAAAAAAATTAAAATCACAAAATGTCTATGTAGAAAGGACAACAATCACTAAACATGGTAAATTGAGAACCAACAAAGATCTAGCATACCCAATTATATAACAAACTTAACAAACAACAAAAAAATTAACAATGACCAAAAAAAGAGTAATTTAAAGATGGAAAAATAAACTAAAACACCAATTAATTTAAACTTCACAAAATTTAAAATCACAAAATGTCTATATAGAGAAGCAACAATGTCACTTCCCAACACCAAAGGCAAAATTCAGTCTCATAAAGAGATACCCATAAACATGGTAAATTGAGATCCAACAAAAATCAAACATACCCAATTATATAACAAAACATAAAAAACAACAAAAAGATCAACAATGACCAAAAACAGCAGTAATTTGAAAATGGAAAAATAAACTAAAACACCCATTAATTTAAACTTCACAAAATGACTACATAGAGAGAACAACAATGTCACCTCCCAACACCAAAGGCATGATTCAGACTGATCTTCCAACACATCAGCATCCGGATTGGTCAATCCGTATGAACATCTCTGCCCAACAAAAAGCACAGAGCTCTTCACAGAAGCAAGAGTAGTAACACTAGAACTACTTTCTCTCTCATTCACCTTCATTTTCTCAAAAATTTCATCAACCAACTTCGAAAATGGAAGATTGCTCTCTTCAATCATGCACGCAATCACCGAATTGCTTGAACCACAATTACCCAGATCAAACTTGACCTTCTTATCCAAAACCTCCTTGTAATACTTGAACAAACCATTGAGCTCTTCGCGTAAAGCATCGATTCGATTTGCTTTCTCTTGGGTACTCAATGAATCGATCAATGAAGCTCTCTTTCGCTTCAACGACCTCTTCGCACTGTTGTCTTGATTTGGACTGTTCATTTCGGGCTTCTTCGAGTCCGCCATTGAGCCCTAACTGTGCATGCACTTCGTCAAAGGCAGCAAAAATTCATGAAAAGCCCTAAAAGAGCACTAGGGTCTGTTAGGTGAGGGAAATGATCTTACAAGAATAACAGTATTCTTCTGACCTAGGGTATTCTTAGATTTTCCCGGGAAACCAGCCGACAGAAAGAAAAAGCTCTCAGATTCCCTCGAGAAAATCAGTTTTTTTTTTTATATATTTTCCCGAGAAAATCAGCCCATAAATGTTCAATATTTTTCTCAGTTTTTCCTGCGGAAATGAAAGATGAAGATTAAAATACATGTTTAAAAGTTAAAAAAAAAAAAAATACGAAACCTACCTTTGAAGTAAAAATAAAAATTTGATATAATAAAAGCTATATATATATATATATATATATAAATATATGCTTATATTTTATTAGCCGAAAAAAGCTTGCCTTAGGCCATATAAGTAGGCATCTCCTTCTTATGCTGATATGGACCAACAATTGCATGACATGTGTCAAAAAAAAATTAAAAATATTAAACTTAAATTATGCGGATATTTTCGCGGATCATCAAGAAGAAAAGAGGATTTTTTATTTTTTTAATTTGTTTAAGATTTTCTCTCACACGCGATAAACCCCCCTCTCTCTCTCTCAGTCACAATTCATTCTCTCTTCCTATCAAATCGCCATTGATAACCACCATATTCCTAATTCTGAAACCCTAATATCATTATCTCTTCTACCAACCTGCACTGCTTGCTGACCTCCTCTATTCTCAAACCCTAATACTTTAATTGCTAACTTTAGAGTTTAGAGATTATTCAAGATAGATGGGTATACATATACATGCCAACCAGCAACGAGAGAATTGATCCTTCGTGTCGAGGCCGTTACCTAATTCAAATGGAAAGCAATCCTATTTTATTTGTAGTGTCAAGCTTAGTGGTGAGCTCTAATACCCCAAGTCATCTCCTCTATATCTTTTTTCCTACTTTCTAAATTGTTACTTTTTACTTACTTTAATTTCAATTGCATTGTAATTTAATCAACCAATTAAACTCACCTTTTGTTCACTTGACCTACTAACCCTATATATTGTTTCCATTGCAAACACACCTACAATCTCTTGGGATGATCCCTACTCACCCTAACTATATTTTTAGTTAGAAGTTGTAGTGGCTTTTATAAATTTAAAACTTGGCCACATTGCACACTCACACTCTTAGTGCATTTTTAAACGTTGGTGCACGCACCATCCATCAATTAACATATACAGAAAAGATAGATGCTTTCATATGGATAAAGCCTATCCATTGAGCTCTCCAATGATTGTCCGATCACTTGACATCAAGAAAGATCCTTTTCGTCCTCAAGAGGATGATGAAGAACTTCTTGGTCTGAAGTGCCCTATCTCAGTGCGATTGGAGCTCTTTTATATCTTGCCAATTGCACAAGACCTGATATAATTTTTTCAGTCAATTTATTAGCACGGTATAGTTTTGCACCAACTCGCAGACATTGGAATGGAATAAAACACATATTGCGATATCTTCGTGGCACAACTGATATGAGATTATTTTATTCAAAAACATAAAGTTCTTAATTAATTGGATATGCAGATACCGGCTATCTCTCTGACCCACATAAAGCCTATTCACAAACAGGATATGTGTTTACCTGTAACGGGACTACTATATCATGACGATCTATAAAACAGACAATGATTGCCACTTCTTCAAATCTTTCTGAGATACTCGCAATTCATGAGGCAAGTAGGAAATGCTCTTAGTTGAAATCAATGATCCAACATATTTGAACAACATGTGGTCTCTTATCAATAAAAAAAAGCCCAACAATATTATATGAAGATAATGCGGCATGTATTGTACAGATAAAAAAATTGTATATTAAAAGTGACAGGACCAAGCACATCTCACCAAAATTCTTTTATACACATGAACTCCAGAAAATGGGTGATATTGATATTCAGAAGATACGTTCATGTGAAAATCTAGCAGATCTATTCACTAAAACGCTTCCAACTACAACATTCAAGAAGCTGGGGCACAACATTAGAATGCGTCAACTAAATGATCTTTAGGGTTGAACTAATGAGGGGGAGTAATTGATCGAAGAGGTATTGGTATACTATATTCTTAGCGTGAGGAGGAAGCTCACTTCTTTGCTTACACTGAAAGCCTTACTATGGCTTATAAGGGAAGCCAAAAACTGAGCCTATATAAGGCAATGTGCATGTATTGCTTATAGATACAAGACTTGAATAAAATTCTCTTTCTTTTCTCTCTCTCTTTCCTTCTCTCTCTTTGAAGTGTTGCTTTTCATCTCTCAAATAAATATTTCTATATATACACATATATTTATTACATAGTTCAAAATGTCATTTTGAAATTTTGAACCAAAGTTTGGTCAAATTTTGGCAAGATAAATATGTATTATAAAACAATGGGAGAGAAAAGGTTCAAAGGAAATGGAATCAATTACTAACTTTCTAGACAAATTAATGTCATCTGATTTATTTATTTATTTATTTTGAATTCTTTTAATTTAGACCAAACATTTAATTAAAGTACGATGCTATAATGACGGTACTCTCAAGAGAGTTGCACCTTCATCCATTGGATCAATAGAGTTGTAACATAATGCTTTTGAGCAAAAGATGGGAGAAAAAGCTTGTCGTGAGAAAGCCCTTTATCGTAACCTGCTCTAAATTAAATATATCAAAGTAACGATCGTAATTTTGACAAGCAACAAAATAAAATTATCAATGATGCTTATATTTTTACTAACTATTATCACTTATGTCACCATTAATTAACTTGCAAGTGAATTATTTTCACACTTGAATATTGTGATGAACTCACTATACATATGTTGCGCACTGAGAGCTTGAATTCTCAACCTTCTATTTTGAAAGGCAAGAAAATATCACTAGCTTACAAGCCTACACCTTTGATAATTTGAAATTTTCTTTTGGAGTTTTTTCTTTATTAATTAGAAGGGTAAAGTTAATGCTTACCCTTGATCTTATGTAGCACTGGCACGAGGCTCAAACTTTCAAAGAGCTTTAAGTGGTCCAAATTTGTTTGGTAGTAGTTACAAATTGAGTGCCTATTGTTTACACATTTACGAGTTTTCTTTTTTCCTTAGCAAGATACAAATGGCCCCGGTCATGTGTCTTTATAGGGATTTGAACCACCACCTTTCACTTTTGAGAAGTTGAGGACATATAATTAGGCTATATTTATTAGTTAAAATCTATGATGTTAAACCTTTTTTTTTTCTCTTCTGACAATGGTGGTATCGAATTTTTTAGGACATTCCATAATCTACTACCGAACACGTACACTCGTTTGTTTGGCACATGACTTAGTAGCGACCTTTTATTCACTATCAAGATGAAGTAGTATTCAGTGGATGCTCATAGTGCTCCACACATGCATAGTGAGCTCCTCACAATATTTAATTGTCAAAATAATTAACTTGCCAGTAAATCAATGGCGCCGTAAAAGTGACAATAACAAAAAGATAAGCATCATTAATTCTTTTTATTTTGTCTTACTATTATTACTTTGATATATTTAATTCAGAGCAACTCTGGTAATATTTTGCTCTAATATTTTACTCAACAGTATAAGGTTACATCTCCATTGATTCAACGAATGAAAGCGCAACTCACTCAAACTTCTAAATATGAGGTAAAAATCTTTGTCATTAGACTTATCTCCTCACAGTTCAAGAAAGCTAAACTCATGCACCCATCTTGATTGCTTCTGAGTCTACTCACTTATCATTTTCCTTTACAAAATCAATTCAAGTCTGTAAGTTATTTTCTTTTCTTGATTGACCAGCCATTGCCCAAAAATATCAATCTGATTCAAACGTGACGAAGTATCTTTCCACAGTAAATTTTGCAGATTTGAACACGATTATCTTTTCTTTCTCTTCAGTTTTTTCCCTTTTTGTAAAATCTTTTCACTGATTCAAACGAATGCACTTACTTCGATTGAGAATTTTTATTTTTTTTTATTTTTATTGTAATTAGATCAATAATTCTTCGTCATGTTCATCTAATTAACTAGAAAGATGTTGTGATTGTGCCGTGTAAATAAATAAATATGCAACTCTATAAATATTTTATGATACTTTGGCTACTTTATCACCCTTTTAGTTTCATTTAATACTGGAATATAATTGGAAAAAACAACAAAATAATAATTATTATAGCATATGTAAACAAATTGTATATAATTTTTACTGTATTTTTTACCATAATTTTTTATTAGCAATTGTATTTTATTTTTATACGGATATGTTTTTTTATGTCAATTTTTTAAGAGCAATGCTTGGATCCTGCCATATCAGGACAAGTTTTGTCATCTGCCCTATGAAAACTTGACACCTGTCATACTGAAACAAATTGGGCTACCCATTTTCTCTCCTTCAGTTCTTCCTCTCTCCAAGCACTGCCACAAGCCCACACCGTCTTCGTCCTCGCCAGTCTGCCATCGCCATCGCCGATCAGATTATTCACGGCCGAGCTCTCCACATCCGAGTTGTCCTCAGTCGAGCCGTCCTCGCCACCGTCCGAAGTCAGCCCGTTACCGCCGTTATCAGTAAGCCGCGCCCATCACGACCACCATCATCCGAAGCCGAGCCCTCCACCGGCAAGCTCACTGCCGACCGGCTCCATCACGGTCGAGCCCTCGATCTCAAAACCCTCTGTCGGATCTCTCTCGTCTTCACCTCGATTCGTCGCCGCAAACTCTCAACTCCGAAGCCTTCGCTGCCAACTGATATATATCAGCTGCCGTTAAAGGAACCACTAGAAAACCCATCCTCTCTGGGATCCGGCTCCACCTTGGCCGAATTCGAGGGATTTAGAGCTTGTGCGGCCGTCGCGATCTATTGCCATCGCCAACGGCGATCTGTTCTCTCGCACCCTCGCCGCTTCAACTCTCTGCTCAGTTGGCGACCCGCCATCCAGTCACTGGATTTGTCTCAACCGCCATCTCCATCTTTGCTGGCTCCAGAGATCGTCACAGCCAACCGAACCGTGATCTCCGCTGGATCCGTCGCTGCTGACGGATCTGTTACCTTCGTCAACTCTAGCATCGCCGAACTCCACCATCGATAGAATCACTGTCTTCGTCTTCAACGACGACATCCCTGCCGTCGCCAAACTCAGGGGTCGAAGTCACCAGAGGGATCATCTTCACGCCACTGATTGACTTCATCGCCGACCCACATCGTCGGCCTCCA